AAGTGAAGTGGTAGCCCCAGAGGCTGATGGTTTCTATCTCCACGTATCCCTAGGATGCTGCTAATCCCGAGGGATCTGCTCTGGGTCCATGCTGGAGCGCCCTGGTGTCTGCAGTCCCTGAGCCCCCAGAGACAGAGAGAGCCCCGGCCCAAGTGGCCTTTGGCACCTTGTGTGGAATGTGGGGTGAGCCTGGGAGTGTGCAGAAGGTGAGAGTGAGGGCTGTGCTCCAGACTGACGCCAGGAAGGGCAGTGTTTCCCTGGAGGAGGGGAGGTTTGGGCCCACAGGCAGAGTTTGAGGAGGGTCAAGGCGACAGATGCTGCTCCCTTTTGTTGCCTGCTGAGGTTTTCTGCCCCCCTGGAGATTTCCTGCCGGGCTGCGGCACCACAGGGAGCAGAAGGGAAACCTGCCCATCCCATGAGCGCTGCCAGCCTTTGTCCCTCTGTTTTCCCTCCAACCTGGGAATTTGCTGCTGTCACTGCTGAGGCCCCCACACCTGGGGGTTGTGTCCTCCTTGTAGCCCTTCCCAGCCCCAGCCACGAGCTCCAGTTGTGCCTGTGTGTGTCTGGCAGTGTCTGCTGGGACTGTGCTTCCAGTGCATCATCCCTGGGAAGATCCTGTTGTTCTAGACCACTGGGGACAGTTTGGGCTCATCACCTTCAGAGCTGCATTGGAGCAGTCCCTGACAAGAACAAGGAATGTGAAGTTTTGTCCAAGTGCTGCTTTCGCCCCCCACTTGACAGTGTGTGCTTCGTGTTGGAGGTTGTCCTGTATTTGCACTGCAGAGAACGTGCCCTTCTCAGTTCAGCCCAGCCCAGCCGATCCCAAGGGCTCTTCCAGGAATATTTATTCTTTACTTCTCTTTGGGGTACCTTAATCTCCAAACTGCCACAAACAATTACTTAATTTCTCCTGGAGAAAACCAAGTGCCAGAGGAAGTTTGCCCAGGAGCCCAGAATTGTCTTTGGAGCAGAGAGTGCTGAGAGCTCCCTGTGCCTGTTCCCAGCCTGGCACTGTCCACAGGGACACACAGGGCAAAAACCATTACAGGGAACAAAACCCCTTCCTTCCAGAGGGTTTGTCCTGTGCAAATCAGACCTGGGGCAGCAGTTTGACTTGGGACATCCATGAACTGCTCTTCCCCCAGAAAGCACCATCCCCGTGGGCATTAATGACCTGCCCTGTGCCCACTGCTCACTGTGCACCCAACTGAAACCAGAGCAAGTCTCGCTTTGCTTGGAAGAACTTCAAATGACTTTAAAAAAAATAAATTATCTCTGCTTTTTTTCCTTCCAGGTGATGGACTTGCCTCTCTGGATGTGTGCTGAGCTCTGGCTGCAGGGGACTGTCAGGCCTTGGTGGTGGTGCATTCATGGTCTTCTCACTAGGAAACTGGAAAGAAGTGTTTTCCGAAACCTGTCCCCTTCTTTCTGCCTTTTGCTGATAGATCTTCTCCTTCTGCCTTTGAAGTTACAGCCTCCTTGCAGCTCCCAACTGGCAAAACCTGGGGTGACTCAGTGGGGACAGAGGTGACATTTTTATCTGGAAACTTGGGGTAATTCCTAGGGGATACAGCAGCTGTTTCAGTAGGAAAGTGTGTTTAACCCCATTGGCCCAAGCTGTGTTTGCACCAGCTGGGGCCAGAGGTACAAGGCAATCCAAAGCAAGCCCTGCTTGACCTCTAAATCCTAGGGAAAGTTTTCCAAGCAGCTCCTTGAGGACTAAAGATACATTAAAATGGAACCAAGAGCACTGAGAAGATTCTTGTGAATCTCAGTATTGCTGTCCTAGAATTTTGAACAGGTTTTGAAGCTGTTGATGGTAATAGTGGCTTTTTTCCTTTGGACGAGTCCCTCGGTAGGATTTGGGGTTTCTTTGGGTTTTGACTCCCTCCCAGTGGCCCTGACACCGACCAGGAGCTGGCAGGACAAACAGACTGAGAGCTCCTGGCAGGCACAGGGGGTTTCCCCCAGAGTGGCTCCAAGTGCTGCCCACCAGCCTGGCCAGGTGGGATCTGCTTTGGCTCCCAGCTTGTGCCAGAGCCAGAAGGTGTTCTGTGGATTGGAATGCGGATCCAGTAGCTTCATCTCCTGGAGATTGCCTGGGCAGCTGATCCACTCTGCCTTGTGTCCTACTCTCAGTTCCTGCCCAGGCAGAGCCAGCCGTGCCAAGGGCACGAGCACTTCCACCCTGGATAAGGAATGGGGGACTGGCTGCTGTAGAATTCACCTAGAAAGTCAAACAAGGGGGATTGTTGGAGGATCTGGCTCCTTAGGGAACCTGCTGGGAAGAGAAGCACAACCCCAAATCTCCAGCTGTGGGTGGAGTCGTGGAACGTAAACCAGCACAAAGCGATACCCCAAAATGAGCCTTGGGAGAGCAGGACCAAATGAGGGTCACTGTCACTATGGAAAGGCAAAAGGAATTGGTTGGAACTTGGATTGTCCCCTTGGGAGGTGCTGGTTGCTGGGATTTAGAGAATGCCCTGCCTTAGACTGCCGAGATCTTCCAGTGCACCGGCTTTCGCCAACACGGCAGCACAAAGACTGTTCTCTGCGTGGGGCCAGAGGCTGAGGGATCTGGGGTTGTTCAGCCTGGAAAAGAGGAGACTCAGGGGAGACCTCATCACTCTTTACAACTCCCTGAAAGGAGTTGTAGCCAGGTGGGGGTCGGTCTCTTCTCCCAGACAGCTCTCAGTAAGACAAGAGGGCACTGTCTTAAGTTCTGCCAGGGGAGGTTTAGGTTGGATATCCGGAAGAAATTCTTTACAGAGAGGGTAATTAAGGTAATCAGGCATTAGAATGGGCTGCCCAGGGAATTGGTGGATTCTCCATCCCTGGAGGTTTTTAAGGTGAGACTGGGTGTGGCACTGAGTGCCATAGTGTAGTAACCGCGGTGGTTGTGGATTAGGGGTTGGACTTGATGATCTCAGGAGTCCTTTCCAACCCAGCTGATGCTATGATTCTATTCCCTCTCAATTTTCCCTTTATTCCCTCTCAATTCCCCATCATCTTGTCCCTATTTCCCCTCTATTCTCCCTCCATTCCCTTTCTTTTCCCTCTCAGTTCCCCCTCTATTTCCCATCTGTTCCCATTTTATTCTCCCTGAATTTCCCCTTTATTTCCTCTCAGTTACCCCTCTATTCCCCCTCCATTCCCTCTCTGTTTCCCATCTGTTCCCTCTCCATTCCCCCTCCATTCCCTCTCAATTCCCCCCTATTTCCCATCTGTTCCCTCTCTATTCCCCCTGAATTTCCCCTTTATTTCCTCTCAGTTCCCTATCTCTTCCCTCTCAATTCCCCCTCTATGTCCCCTCCATTCCCTCTCAATTTCCCCTTACTTCCCATCTGTTTCCTCTCCATTCCCCCTAAATTTCCTTTATTTCCTCTCAATTCCCCCTCTATTTCTTGACTGTTCCCTCTCCATTCCCCCTGAATTTCCCCTTCATTTCCTCTCGATTCCCTCTCTCTTCCCTCTTGATTCCCCCTCTGTGTCCCCTCTATTCCCTCTCAATTCCTCCTCTATTTCCCGTCTGTTCCCTCTCAATTCCCTCTCTATTCCCTCTCTATTCCGTCTCAGTTTCCCTCAGCAACTCTGCTGTGAGCCTAAAAAACCAAAATTAGCAAGAAATTTTAACAATAACTCCACAATTACTTTGTATTGTCAGATATCTACATGAAAAAAATTACATTAAATGTTTAAGAAAGAACAGAGACCTCCTGTAAAAAAAAAAAAAAGTTGAAGAAAACCACTTAAAGTCACTGTAAATTGGTTAAAGTCATTGGTTTAAAAAAAAAAAAAAAGAAGACACTGGTCCAAATTTTCACAAGGGATGAAATTATATGTACATCGAGTATGACTGTCAGCATAGGCAACCAGGCATACACAGGCAGCATGGGAGATGGCCAGGTGGACTGCAGCCATCCATGGTACCACCTTCTTGTTAATGGCATTAACAATTAATGCAAACAGCACTGACTGCATGAACTTGTAAAGTCCATTTGTGGAACACGCATAACCTAGTTCCACAGATAACACAAATAAGCATGATTCTTCTCTAGTATGGTTTGAACATTATGCTTAGAAAAGTGATTTGATATATCCTTTAAAGGACTTATACAAGATTTTCATTAATTTCACTTCAAATAAGGTGGAATTCCCACAGAAAATATGCTTAAGGATATCTATTTTTATTTGAAGCAAGAAAGGTGCATGTGTGTTTGAAGAAACATATGAATTCAGGTTCATATCTGAATTTTAAATTATTATTAAGTAACAATGAACTTCATTAGCTTCCTGTGTACATTTAAATTCTAGTTTTAAATACAACTTTTGGTTTACATATAATCTAAATAATTTTCAAACCCACAAACTAAAATCTTTTGATATATTCAATTTTTTTATCCTTAGTCATATAAAAAATAATTTATATGTGCAAAGTAACTAAGCATGAAATTTTAAAACCCTCAAAATTTTAAATGTGGCAAGTGGTATCAAATTTGAAAGTCTTTTGGTCTTTTAGTGAAATACAGCTATATGATGCTCAGCTAGCAGTCTTAGCTGAGATGAAAGGACATTTAAAGAGCTGAAGGAACCTTTACGATTTTCTGAACGAAAGGATGTGGGGTCTGACCTAGCCTCTGGCATAAACTACAGCATGTACAGGTCTTACAGTTTTACTAGTTTATATTGGGCATCCCAGGGACTGTCAGAGTTCAGCAAAGAGAAGATGCAGCAAGAAAAGGGACTGCTATCACTTTACGGTAACATTGCAACTCATTTGCACTGCACTGGAGGCCACCAGTGGAGAGATAGCAGATGGCTTACAGTGGAACTACTGGAAAAGATTTTGTTATATTAATATCTGACTGAAAATACACAGATATTTCAGTGTCCTGGGTAAATTAAAGTGGTACGTTAGCTAATTCCTCTAAATAAATGTGTGCTTAAATGAAAAAATCAAAATATATTTTGACACAATTAATCCACAAACCAAATGTCACCTTTTAGAGAGAAAATAGTATTCATGTAATACCACATGCAAGTTCTCAACAATGGTGAGCTCACTTACATTCTCCCTACATTCTGCACGGCAAATGATTATTCCTGGTATTTATATTGGATGAAACTATATGAAAAACATGCATTGCTGTTTAGTTTCCTTCCTTATACATTTGATTAATTATTTTTTATCAAATTTTTCATCTTAATTAATAATATCATATTGTGCACACAGACACTTAAAGCCACAAATATATGCTGGGTCAAGAGTAACAGTTCAAAAATTTCCAATTTTACCAGGACAAAAAAAGTAAATGTAAATGCATAAAAGTAAAGACACAAATGTATTTTGTTTCTTACTAGAAATTAAACAAAGGAGGTACATTTTTAGAAACAACCACAATTTCCACGAACATTTATAAATATACTCCAAACACCTTCTTGCCTAGTCCAAATGTAACACATTTAATTCAGTGAAGAAACTTAAAGGGAAGTTGAAAATGTATGTATAACATCATTTAAATTAATATGGACATTAAAAAAAAATTAAACTGGATCAGAATGCAAGAATTTTGGCAAGTCTGGAAGACAACAGAACAATAATGTAGAGGAAGCATTTTTTTCCATAGACCTATTACAGATGAAAGATGCTATTTCTTTTCCTTTTTTACCCCTCCACATCATGATAAAAGTGTTATCTTTATTTAAACTCTAATTCATGAAAGGAGGGTACACATACATGGATTTGAGTGTATGATTTTATTATTTACCACACTGAATGATATTATACCTGATTATTGTGAGGCACTGTTAGATTAACCTCAGAACAAAAGACTTTTATATGCAGGAAATCAGTAGGAATTCCAGAATCCTGCATAAGGATCTCAAAGAGAGATACTAGGACTACAGTCATGCAGAGTTCTCCACATGAACATGTGTCCACATGTGAGGACCAAAGTTTTTACTTAGGTTCTAATGCTTCAGTAGAAAATTAAAAATATTTCATAGATCTCCAGAAAACAAAGACTCATTCTGGAAAAAAAAAAAATCTTCCGCATAAACAGCAATTTCAATATTGTATCAAGAGAAAACATTAAAAAGCTTACTGTTAATTACAGCACATGAAGTTGAACCTACCTTTCTGCCAGGCTAGTCAGGGCAAGGAGAGCACCCAAAAGGACATTGCTGTCTTGGGCAGATAACAAATTTACTAAGGTCTGGAAAATAAAACATGAAACAAGGTAAGTAAACATAAAGTATAATATTTTCTTTTACAACTTAAATACATATAAGAAATATTTACTGAAAAGCAAAAATTAAGATACCAAATCCTTTCACAAGTTAGAAGTCTTAGGTATTTTCAAAGTACACTTAAATATACATTTAAAACCTTAGAATACACCTAGTTTTAGGACAAGCAAGGACATTTCTTCTCAAAAAATCAATTAGTATCTCTTTTGACTGCTGAAGCATCTGTCCAACTTATACCACTGTAAAAATTAGTTTCTGTGTAAGACACTTCAGAACCCTAAATCAGGCCTCGTGAAGCAAACCATTAATATTCAGCTTGCATTTAAACAGCACAGTAATTTAAGGCCCTGCACATATTTCTGTTCATGATTTATATCTAAGTAAACTTCATATTTATCTAGGTTCTCTAAAAATAGGTTATCTGATATTATCTGATCACAGTTGCCTATGATTTTCTGCAGCATGATAAAATCATGGAACTCTAGTTAAAATTATTTCGATCTCTACTGTTTCTCAGTTTAGCCACAAATCAGCAGTGGTTAAATACAGATCCTCAGACTAATGGTAATGTATAGCATTATGCCTGGGCTGTCACTGTCTACCTTGACAGTATTCTTTTTAGAATACCTTACACAGGAAAAATCATAGCAGAAATTTATATAAAAAATATCTTTAAAATCTATTTTTAAATTATGTAAAACTATTTGTATAATAGTAACATGTAACTCAGGACAGCGTAAACATGAGTACTACTTTTTATATTAAAGAGTTTATCAAAACGTGTAAAATCTATATCAAACAACCAAAAACCATGTATCAGACCAATCAATTTACATAGAAGAAATTATTTTTATTACATTATTAATACATCTCTAAAACACAGAGATTATGTTACTTTACAAGCTTGACAAGGTAAGGAATTTAGTCACACCTAAGTCAAATCTGAAAAGCATAAGTCATTCCATTAAGTAGGTAATTGCATATAAATAGCAACTTTATAAAGCACTTTATGTGCTGCACTTGCTATAGCCCCTTGTCTTTGATTTTTAACAGCAGCAAGGTTTTGGAAAATGTCTATGGAACTAAAGAAGTTACATAAATTGAGTCTTTACCACTTAATATTTTCATTGTACCAGTTAGATAACAAAGCCAAACACTGCATAAGTTCTTTGAACTGTGACTAGCTAATTTTACTCATTTCCATGCCTAAAGAGGTAAAAATTTCTTAAATATTTAAATGTAGAAAAACAAGATGTATTTTTTTCACAGGAATTTCAGTTTTTATTTGCGTGCTGATGCCTACAATGATTCTAGTAATATCTTAATGACCACCTCCAGTATTCTAAACATTTTAAACCTCACACAAAAAGTTGTAAGCAGCCTTATCGTGTCTGATACCAACTAGAACACTTACATGTCATGTTGACCAACTTGTCTACATCGTGCTGCTCCTCTCCATAATTCAGACAGCTCTTTGCTACTGTTTCCATATACTACAAGTAGAGACATAAAGTATACAATCCAAAAAAAAAAGTTTTAAGACTTCATAAACCCAGAATGTTATGCACAGAAATAGCCTGTAGGTGGTGCATCTGTTTCATGAAAAAATGTTCTGTAATGAATAGTACATAAGGACAGTTGCTTTGCACACTTTTGTACACTAGTGAAAAAGACCACACCATCTGCTTATGTGCAAACAGAGTAATGGATTCTCTTCGCTCCATAAACTAGGAATATATGTACACTGCTTTTTGCAGTGTTTTTCATTTCAAACATCATAAAGTGACATGCAACCTAATGGGCAAGGGGAATTCTGCCTGAGCTAGATTTTCAATTTGTCGTGGTTTTGCCCCCTCAGCCTATCCCTGGGGCTGATGATGGTTTTGTCCAGGTAATTTCCGGACAAAAAGACCAATCAGAAGTCCAGGAACGCCTTTGCTAATTACATCTTCAAGAAAACGGAAGAGAAGGTTGTTGGCGCAGTTGGAATGAGAGTAGCAGCCATGTAGGGGAGAGGAGTACCGGGCCCGAACAGGGCCAGACTCCCTCCTCCCCCAGCTTGGGCCGGGGGGGGAGCAGGTGCAGCACTGAAGTTCTCCCTTCTCTCTTGTAAGAGAGTGAAGAAAAAAAAAAGTTTAAAAGACCGACTGCTTGGACAGAAACCGCTGTGGAAGAATTCCAGTCGAAAGATAACGGAGCTTCCAAGGTCGGAGTTGGCAGCCGAAGCTGCAGCAAAGAAAAGTAAAATGCGAAAGGGGGGAGGCTTGTTTCCCCCCTGCCTTTCTGCTCTCTCTCTCCTTAGCAGGGAAAAGACTGAAAATAAATCCCTGCCACCTGTAAAAGTTTGTTAGAATAAGGAGACCTCCCATGCAACTGATAAAGAAGTCTGTGGATGTACCAAAGAGAACCAAGGCTTCATGAAAAGGACTGAAGTGAGGCAGAGTCCTGGTGGAGATTTGCAACCCTGAGGGAAACTTGTGTTGGAGCAGTGACAACTCAGGTGAGATACTGGATCCGTGCGTGTGTGGATCTATACTGCTGTTGAAGATTTTGTGACCTTGAGAAATCTCATGCTGGAGCGAGATGGCCCATGTGAGATGCTGGAATCCGTGAGTGTGTGGATTCGTACTAGACCCATGCCGAGAAGTCTATCAAGGACTGTTCTCCCATGGGGAGGGACCTCCATAGGGAAACAGGGGTGGACTCTTAAACCATTAGCCCCTGTAACCTTATGGAAGAAGATCCATAGTAAGCAAGTGTCCCCTTGCAAGCCTATGGAAGAAAAACCTTTCGGGACCTGAGTAATCTCCATCCTTCAGTCTTAGCCCAGGAGGGGGGTAAGCCCAGCCCTGGAAGCCAACACAGAACGAGAGAGAGAGAGAAAAAGTTCCAACTGCAATAAAAGTGTGCTGCTGCTAAGAATCTGCTACTAGAAAGAGAAAACTGGAACTCCAAAAATACAGAATAAAACTACTTCTTCTCCTTGGACTGGTATAAAAGGGAAGAAGTATTTTTGTGTATATATATATAGCACTTCAACTTGGGTAGGAATTGTTATAGATATAATTCTTTAGTTTTTAATTTATTAGTAGTTTTTATTTTACTAGTAATAAATGTTTATACTGTTTTCCCCAAGTCCTGTCTCTCTTTTGTCTGCAAATACCTTCTCTCAACTAGTAGTAATTATGTGGGGGGTGGAAAGCAAAATTGACCCAGAGCAAAACCACGACACAATTCCACCCAAGCTGTGGAGTACCTCCTACAGAAAGATGGAAAAAAAAAAAACTAGTCAAAATATGGAAAATACCAGAAAAAGAGACTACTAGAACGTAAATGCTTTGTTTGTCCTGGAAACAAACTTTGTGGAGAAACCTTGACTCCAGTGGTCAAAGTCAGTGGATGCTTGAAATGCTTAGCACTTTCAGATTTAAGAATTACTTTAAGTAAATAGATAAAAACAGAAGTGAAATTTTAAAAGTTCTAAAACTGTGGCACTCAGTTTTCTTCACTTACTAGGTTATGGGAACTTTACATATTTATATGATAAAGTCAAGTACAGAGCCTAGGGCCCAGTGGAATGACCCATCCATCTGTTATGGAGATTTACAGTTTGTTTGTTAGGGTTAGCAACAACAGACACTACGTAAGAAATACCAGAAAATAAGCAAATTATGCAGTAACAGTGCAAAATCACTCTTGAAATCTGTTTGTTTGCAAATCACATCTTCACATACAGAAATATAGGCACATACATATAATAAGTATGCATTCATAAGAACAAATGTCTTTATACACAAGCACCAACACAGCTTATATGCACGATGCTTATATGCATTCTCTTATCCAAGCAAGAAACAAGATTTTGATATATACTGACCTGATAGCATGGATCCCTTATTAACAATCTCAGGCAGATCAATACTCTTAAGAAAATGGATGGACAGAGCTTGAATAACCCATTCCCTGTAAAAGAAATGTTCAAAACATAAACCAAGTGCAATAAAATAGTGTTTAAACAAAACAGTTTGATTCAGGAATCATTTGACTAGAAGATTAGTGAGCTACAACAACTGTTCAACATACTATACTATAGAACTTCTAGTACTGCTTATATTCAAACCTAGTAGCAGCTATAAATAAATTTATTTCATTATATGAGCATTGCCAGCCATCACTTATTATCACTGAACTGATGCAGGAAAGTACATGCTTATCTCAGAACAAATTTAGTGTGCTTTGATATAAGGACACTTTAAGTGTTTGGATCAAGGCCCAAAGGGCAAAAATAAGAGAGAAACCACACAGCAAACTTCAGTGCACAAAACACACATATATAAAAATATGGGTGCTATAGAAATATAAATGGCTTTAGTTCAAATGTTCTTGAAATAGGATTGTATTTCCATATAGAACTTCCTTCTTTATATTCCTCCACACAATTCTCCAGCTCAAGGCTTGGCAGGAAACACAATCAAATTTGCAGATTTGCACAAAGCACCCAGGGGCAATAATCCTGCATAAAATACCAGTAACAGAATCACAGTTTCCATTGTCTGTTGAGGGTATATAAACTCATTTTTCTATTTAAAATAAACCTAAAATTAGACATCTTTGCTGTGTGTTTTTGTTGTTTTAATTGAGAGGATAGAATCTGTTTGGATAAGTTTCCAAGAAACAGAAGTTTATGGGACATGTCAGTTCTCTTTCTATTTTATCATTTGCAGTTGGGAATGATGCCAATAGCTAAAAATACGTTGATAAAAATAAATGTTTTACAAGTAACTGCTAACAAAATCTCAGGCCCTCTGCCAATATTCTGCCCCAAGAAATACTATTTTTCATTATGATTCCATAATTGGCATCTTCAGAACAGCACTGAACTTGAGAAAAAAAACAGCAACCATATACCTGTGAGCAAGATCTGCAATTCAGGTTTTAAAGTAACCCGAAGATACTGCCATGAGGCACAGTCATTCTCTGAGCCTGGGTAACATTTGAGAGCCTCTTCTACTATAGTTACGTTTACAATACACACTACTAGATATACCAGTGTATATCCAGCTTACGCCAGCAGGATTTTTTCAACCTCAGTTATCCACTTTATCCAAACTACTTACGCTAAGATGATCACAGCCTTCTCATCAACAGAACCACCTGCAACCAGGACTTCTGCACACACAGCGATGCCGGTAAGGAGGGGGGATTTTATTCTTGCACCCAAACAACATTGTGATGCCAGCCAAAGCATGTAATGCAAATCAAGGTGACAGTCTATGGCTCTGACACACAGAAGTGGCAGTAGTTCCAAAGAGAAGACATATGGGGTTTGCATACCTACTAATACATGCTCGTTTCATTAACCTTACCTGGGTGCTTTCATTTTTAATACAAGAGGCTCATTTTGATATATCTTGTTATTAACAACAAGAATCGCCAAAGAAAACCAAAATATAAGCCAAGGGTGCCACAACGTAAAAACAGAACTTGGGAATTCACAGTGTAAGCTATTCTTAGAATATTTGGTAAATGAAGCTGAGACACTGACCTCCCATTGGTGAGTACTGATTTCAGGTGCAAAAAAGAGGCACTAGATTTATAAATCACTTAAATGATCTGTTTTAAATTCACTGGCAGTGACATAATCAACAATGAGATCCCTAGTTCCCCAGCTCATTTTGAATAAAGGTCTAAGCAAGGTATGTGATTTTTTTAGGTTCTATAAATTCCAGCAGTTACGCATTAATACTTTCAAGTGCTCTAGGATTCCTCCTTTAAGCTTCTGTACCACTTAAGGTTTTTGTTTGGGCATTAAAAAGCAAAAATACAACACAGTGCAGTGTAGTAAAAGAAATCCTGAAAAATGCATTTTTTTTTCCCAGAAAATACCTTTATCTGCCACCACTAAGGTCTTGCACTTTTTCCTCACTTAAATAAGAGTAGCGTTAGAAAGGGATTTCCTCTTCTAATCCTATAAAACACAGAAGTACAAATAAATATGAACAAATGGCACAAACTCATCTGAATTTTATGAAAACCACTGGCCTGCCAATAAAGGTAGCAGTTCATCAAATCCAAATAAAATCAGTAAAATAAATTAGGAAAGCAAATCGTAGATTACAGATACTAGATATGGATAAATGATCAAGGAAACATAGCAATTGTTGGAATTTTGGTCATCCAAGTTTTATCATATACTGAGTCCTTCCTTATTCTGTCCCGCTAACCTGAGCATTTGCTCCCCAAAGCCAAAACAGAAGCGTTTGTTTAAAACTGAGATTATGAAGAGATGTGCAGCAGGTGATTTCCACACAGAATTGTATTGTTGAAACAACATGCAATATTATCCATGCATCTTCATTCTTCGCTTAAGGCAAGCAAGAGTGGACCTCCTGCTTGGATAGGAATGTGTTCGATATACTGACCTGTGAGTAAGTCTGTTCTTGACTAAAGCCATAAAGATATCTTGAAACAGCCTATGTTTGGGATGTTTGCTAAAATTTCTCTCATTCTTGTAGGTCACACTAATGAGATAGGAAAAAAAAAGGAAAATGCTGAATTGCAAATTAACTTGCCACAAGATAATTTTAGACTGCCAAAACATAATATTAGCAAGAAAAATTAGGAAATAACATATCAGCAGTTACCATGGAATAGCATAACTGCAGATTGCCAGACATTAATAGTATGGAAGAACAGTCTTTCTCATGCATACTTTGTGAGTATTATAATGGTATAAGTTTTCCAAATAAAGAAATGATCAGTATTTAAAATTAGTATATTAACTCCCAACACTATACTCTTTTGAGTGGGAGTAAGTGTTTGAAACTTACAAAGGCAGAAACATTCACAGTTAGGTTTAGAAAATTAAAAATACATGATTCATATCTCAAATACTCAGTTAATATCAAAGTATTTAAGTATAGACATAAGTACAAATATAGATGCCTTCAACACCTCAACAAGCTTTAGATACAAGGATATAAAGACACCTGGAGAAACAACAGTGTCATCATATTCACTTTTTTTTTTTTTTTTCCTAAATTTTTCAAGCTGGGCAGCTTCTGTTGATTCTTGCCATTGACCACTGGGTTTTTGTCCACTGCTTTTTATTTTTTGACAAGCTCTTGTCACACTCGTTTGAACACTTCCAAAATATATAGCTGGAAGCTAAGGAGGAAAGGGATAGTAGTCATTAGGCAAACACTGCATTTTAAGTTTTATGAGAATATTATCAAGCAAAAGTACCTTTTCTCAAGTTCTGACTTGAACTTCTGAACTATAACTTCCCATTATAAAATAGGCACAACCCCTGTGAAACAAAACTGAGGTGGTAGAAAACTGATGCAGAGCTATACTGGAAAACAAGTACATGGAGATAAACAAAATGTGAAGAATGGTGTCTTTTAAAATTGATAACATCAAAACTCAACAAAATATGCAACACACGCTCATTATCTATGCTCCTTACCTGTCCAAATTCTACAATTGCACAGCCTTCACATATTTTTTAGGTAGCAGAATTCATGTCTCAGTTTTTGGCTCAGAAGCAATTCCAGGCCTCTAACCAGTTAAAAAGTGCACAACTCCTACCTCACATGGAGAATCCCTAAGTCATTTTGTCATATCTTTTTACAGAACAGAAAGGGAGAAAATGTTCCAGCATTCCGAAGACTCACACCCATCATCACATGCTGATTTTCTTTGCTTCAAATGGCAAATAAAAGCTTCACTAAGTGAGCTGAGGTGAAGGAGACTTTACTGCATCCTGTAAGTTTCATGCATTGATATTTATGCCCTGAATATTTTTAGCTGAAGTGTTATTCTCCAAAGACAAACTGTTTATGGTTAAAATGCTGATCTTATTTTATATTTTTAACACTCTCCCCTTTGTTGTAACTCACATATCTCTAAGCCTACCTTCTTGTGACATTGCGGAAGGGCATGGAGGAGAACAAATCTGCTAGACTACTTGACTGTATGCAACAATAGCTGCATAAAACCTGCTCAAGATACAAAACAAAGCAATTTTTTCCCATTAAAATAAAAAAATATATGGTATAGTAAGATGGGAGGAGGAGCAGTTTCATTCTTTTACCCATTCTAAATGGGACTTGTCCCATACAGTAGGTCTAATGTTGGGGGAAAAAAAAAAATAATCATAAAAGAACATGATGTTCTAAGTATATGCCACAAACCATAATTACCATTAATTACAATTCTAAAACATGTTTAATAGCAGTTATTGAAAAATACCTGTTCGTTCCTTGACTGAACATTCAAGAGAAACTGAAGTCTTTTCAGGTCAGAATAATCCCTAGGAAAAACCACAATAGCATAAATACATGTGTTAATAGTTACATAAAAGTATTTCCATAAGAGTAAAGAAGGTCAACAAGCAACGACGCTACTGGCAGAAAATAAAGTTTTCTGGTGTTGCCTAGTGTCTCCATTTTGTGAATTTACAACTTCTCCAGAATGCCTTAAATCAACAAAGGTGTAAATAAACTTTGTGACCAGAGTAACAGTCGTCATGTTTATATTGCATTTCAAATTAAAGCATTCTGCTCTGGCAGCCAGTGCAAATTCCACACGAGTCGTGCTGAAGTTCAAAGTAAAACGTCAGATACTATACCTCATAGAGATCCCATGAGGTTTTCTGTCTGTTGCTTTTTCTGTGCTCCTCAACTTTTTGTCCTGATCAGGCATTATGTATCACTATTATCATTATGTGGCTAAAAACTCATTTCCTTGAAAATAAAGTGGATAAAAAGAATTATATCATTGCAGCAAAAGAAACACGTTTACTTACAGAACTAACAGATAGAACTTTAATAAAAATAAAAAAAAAACAAACAGCTCTACCATTTTCTCAGCACGAAACCTTGGGCATTATATCAGGATATCCTTTAGAATTCCACATATTAATACCTGGGTAGATAATACTGTCTTGCTATTGCATGTATTTTTATTAGAATTTTTTTCTCTTCTTTTATCTTATTACCATTATTTCTCACCATGGATTGGCTATTTATGTTGCAGCAGTGCTTACAGGATAACATCAAGGTTGTCAAAAACAAGCTGTTGTCCAGACAACAGAGAATATAACACTTTTGTCATCCAAATAAACAAGCTGAACAAAGGGTAGAAAAAGGAGGTATCTGACAAATAAATGAGATGCATACAGCAAGTCGAGAGAGGTGATTCTCCCCCTCTACTCCACTCCCAGGAAACCCCACCTGGGGTACTGCATCCAGAACTGGCACTCCCAGCAGAACAACATGGGCCAGTTGGAGTGAATGCAGAGGGGGGCTATAATGATGATCAGAGTGTGAGACACTGGATTATTATATTATTATTGGCTCAGACCAACTCAAATGTGGCAGGGGCGTGGAAGGGACAAGTCAAATTTCACAAAGGTGGTGTTCTATTCCACACTCTAGCCCTTTCGAGCCTCCTTGGGCAGCCCTGGAGCACTGTCCAACACCACACTCCTGGAACCATAACCCAGCCCCACAATGGCTGGCACATCAGAAGTCCCACCCACCAGGGGTGGCCACAGGGGGCCTGAGCAAATAAAACCAACACCATGTGGCCATCACATGATCGCAGCCCTGCCATCTCCTGGACTGCTGGTAGCTGGATCTATGCTGGATATGGGGCAGTGGCTATAATTCTCTCTTTTCTTCACTCTCTTTTCACTTCTTCTTCTCTTACCCAAGTATCAACTGAAAGCCAGATGAGTTGGATTTTGCTGAGTTGTACGAGTTTGTATGTGCTAAGTTGTATGAGTTTGTATGTGCTAAGTCAAGGCTTTGTAGAATGCTCTGTTTTGGTTGAATGTTGCCCTTTAAATTTTTGCCAAGTTCCCTTATTGTCTAAGGTTTGCCATTAAAAGTCTGTTATTTGACTGCCTGAGAAACATGTGCAGTATCTTCTCCCGTACGCTCTCTCAAGGTATTAAATGAACTGAAGGCCCTTTTAATAGATCCAGCAAGTGGATTTTTGGAGTCTTGTATATTTTTAAAGTAAAACCCCTTCGATGAGCTTGTAGCTCAAACCCGGGCTCTTATATCAGAGTGCTGGAGCACTTCTGAGAAGATAGGCTGAGAGAGCTGGAGTTGTTCAGCCTGGAGGTGAGAAGGCTTGAGACATTAGAGCAGCCTTTCAGTACCTGAAGTTCAAGAGAGCAGGAGAGAGGGACTTTTTACAATGGGGTGTAATGATAAGACAAAGCTTTAAACTGAACGAGAATAGGTTTAGATTAGATCTTAGGAAGAAATTCTTTACTGTGAGGGTGGTGAGACACTAGAACGGGTTGCCCAGAGAAGTTGTGGATGCCTCATCTCTGGAAGTGTTCAAGGCCAGGTTGGACGGGGCTGTGAGCAACCAGGTCTACTGACATGTAGACTTGGAACCAGATGATCTTAAGGTCCATTCCAACCCAAACCAATCCATGAATCTACAATGAGTCTGCCAAAGAGTAACAGAAATTATCAGTAGTTCAGAACTAGGTCTTATGCATCTCAGCTGATGCCTTATACCAATAGTGTCTGCATTCCTTGCAGTGGGACACACAGCTTATTTCCACAGACGAGCAGAGCTCTATTGGCCATTACCGCATCTTAAATTCCCTTGGTCAAGCGTACATTCCATAGGTCTGACTTCCCACAAAAGCACTCAGCTAGTTGCTGGCACAGCATACATTTGTTCACTGAAAATCTTATAAAGCCCTAGAAAGAGACAGAAAGACACAGAAAGAGGATATTCAAGAGAAATCTCTTGCTGCCACAAAAATAATTACATTGATTCAGATCCTTTTCTGAGAGAAGAAAAAAAAGGGATGGTCAGGAATAGACTGGGTCTGTAAAATTATCCTAGAGAATTGCATACAGCTGTAACATTGGTAGAGCACTCCTAATTTAAAAAACGAGGACATAATACCACTGTCTCATCCTCTCTACCCATTTTACTATTCGCTAAATATGGACTGTTTGGATGTTGCCTTTGGTGTCTCTTTTAATACATTTTTCCATATGAAACATGACAGCCTCCTGCAGTGTAGAATTCTTCTGCTACTGAATTTTATTCTTCTTCCTCATAAAGGCAAAGAAGAAGAAAACCAGTCAGGAAACAAGAGCATTGTAAACTACCAGAAGTTGCTCCTTCCCAAATGAACATATTTTTTCCAGCTATACAATTTTGCATCACAGAACTACCCAAACTGCAACTGTTGACAGTATGAACTCATGCACTGTATTAAATCAATCTGGGAAGCAGCCTGTAAGCCCAGTTCATTCATTTCTAATCTTCTGAACAAGCCTTTATCGTAGCACTAGTCCCCACCCAGAGAATGACTGCTCTGAATCCACAAAGAACATCTCTCTCTCTCCCATGCATCTACTCAAAAAGGCTATTAAAAACCACCTCAGAACACTTCTGCGGCACCAGTTATTACCAAGCAATGAATATAAACGGGATCTAACAGTCAGTAGACAAAATTCTTGAGTTCAGATTAAATCAAATGCAGCTAGCTCAAAGCATTTATTTCCTCTGCTTCCAGAGCATTAAAAGCTAAGAGAAGCCACGCACACTGCTAAGCATGGTTATGAGTCCTCATGACTAAGAATTTCCACGTATTGTTTTAATGATATTCTTATATCATATCCCCAGTACACCAGTCTATTTGGGACATTACTGAGGCATGACACGATGCAATAAGCACCTCACATTTGTACAGTAGGAAAGACTGTGAAACTCACAAATTTGTCAACTTGATCATGAGCATCTGTGCACAAAGAACAGATTTCAACCAGTTAAAGAACTACCAAACAAAACCACATACAAAGAACTTGTCCATGAGCAAACAGTTAAATCTTTAAAATTTTCAGCATCCCATGAAAGAAAGTAATCCTTGGGTTAAACCTCTAGATCACAAACAGCAGTATTCCCAGTACAGCTGGGATTTAATCAAAAATTGTGAAGTCTGTGATTATTTACATTTTGCAGCTGTAGACCAACCTTGCTTTAGGGCTGCCAGTCCAACACTTTTGCTGTTTGCTCTACCTTATTAGAGATGAAACAGAGTAACAGCTGACTAATATTTTTAAGGTCCATTGCCATTACAGGTCCAAAAGTCCCTATATATGCCCAGAAAGGTGGTGGATTCACCATCCCTGGAGGTTTTTAAGATGAGGCTGGATGTGGCACTGAGTGCCATGATCTAGTAATCACAGTGGGGTTGAATCAAGGGTTAGACTTGATGATCTTGGAGGTCTCTTCCAACCCAGTTAATTCTACGATTCTATACAAAACTGAATCTGACAAATATCAAGCCAAATTCCCTGCACTGCTGCCTGGAAATGAAGGGATGCTGCTCACTCAAGGATACAGCCCTCACCCTGCCCTGAGGACTCACCCTGGGGTTTACCTCTCTAGTTCCTAGCGACAGACCTCTGTCAGCACAGCATCACCGTAGATGCACAGTTCACTGGACTGGGAAACCTGATTCAGGTTACAAATAAACTCTCCTACTTTAACCCTTCTTACCTTGCAGCTTGTCCCCAAGTACTTCTGCTGTACAAGGGCAGGGAGCACATGCAGAAAGGAGAAGCGTTTATCCACGTAGCTTAAAGTGCTGTGTCCACCAGCTTTGCTACAAAGATTAAACCAATTGATTAACAGCCAGCTGCTGGTGAAAATACCTTTCCCCTTTCCTTCCCCTTCCCAGCCTCAGCCACCACCCTCTTCCTCAGCTGATCTGACCCAACCTGAGCCAGTTTAGAGAAAGGAAACAATATGCCTCCCTTTAAGTATACTAACTCTTCTACCATTTTAATTCACAGTTACAGTAGCCTGATGAGTATCTCTGCTGACTGAGCAGGAATGCATAGGTGTAAATCAAGGGAGAAGGGCAGAAAGCCCCTTTCCTCAGTAGCCACTCATTAAATCAGGTAGGTATATCAGCACCACACCCTGAGTGAGGGGTAGCCAAAAGGAAATAACCTCCTCTTCTCCTTCTATCAGCCAAAAACCTGAGAGAAAACAGACATTAAATATTCCTTAACTATTCTCACAGTTACTTGACTTTCTTGAAGTCACTGGGTAAGTTCTCACTCCTCTGTTTCTTCTTTACTCATGCCAGCAGAAATTTCCACGAAGTCAGGCTATTCACTATCAGCATAACTATCCCCCTGTTATTAAGCCAGCCATGAGTAATGTGTAAGAAACAAACCATACAACGCTCACTCAGGTTGTGCCAGAAAAAAAATGAGATCAGACAACCCTGTAAAAGAACAGAAACACATTAAAAGGAAAATGTCTTTGTGGTCTTATTTCATTCCATTTAAAACAATGAGAGCAATATTAATTAATTCATTTTAACTGGAGATAATTACATCTAATTAGTTATGTTCATTTAATTACATAGGGAGAGAGATGCCTTCTGATAGCACTGGAATGCAGGATAGGACAAGAAATGCTCCAAGAACCCTGTCAGAAATGAAAGAATACACATGATGAGAAACAGGAGACAAAGGAATTATCCCAGACTTGATCTGTGGCCCAATCCAGTATCCAAGATGACTTAAACACATAAGTTTCAGAAGGTGAAAACAAGCCCCAAAATAAATAAAACCACAAAGATATGTTGGAGGATAAATCTACCACCAACAACTACAGTGTAATGTTCTCTTCAAAAAGAAGGCATCTCACATTCTTTACAATCTTTATTAGCAATAACTACTGGATATGGACAGTTTGTAAGCCAACTAGTTGCTCGATTTACCCTTAAACTCCTTCCTTAACCACTCCAGTGGCTGAGTTCCACTATCTAATCATACACAAGATAATTGGCTTAAGGTGGGTAAAGAAGCAGTAGATATATCTTGGCTTTAGTAAGACTTTTGATGCTGTTGCTAGACAGGAATGTATCTAATACCATAAACTGGGTCAGATAAAGGTCAGATGAAAATTCAGTCCTTAAGAGCAATTATCAATATTTAACTGTCAAAATAGAAATTGATTCCAAATATGGTCAAAATGATGGCAAAGGAAGCATCAAAGATGTTGAAAAGTTCCTAAAAGGTACTTTTCCTCTCTAGTCTGACAGAAACAAAGGGAACTCTGGATGGTTTCACCTCTTGTTCTCAGAGAACGCGGCAGTCAGACAAGCAGATCCCCACCAGTCACAGCCTGCGTCTAGTCAAGCTCTGAGAAGTTCCTCCTCTCCGCCCTCGCTACCGGGCAGACCTTCACAGGGAATCACACCGCTGTTACTCGGAGCCTCTGTAGATCACGAGAGGCTCTCCAATGCCTCCTGAAGGCTCAGGGGTGGCAAAGGTGCAAGGCTGGGGAAGACGTCATCGAGTGGAATGGGATAGGGATATTGGGGATATCGCCTCTCCTTCCCCCTCCCCTCCCGCTCCCTCCCCCGCGGGCCCTCAGCGCGCTCCACCCGCCCCTGCCCACTCACGGCGACGGCGACGCTCCCTCCGTCAGGCCGAGACCCCGCGGCCAATCGCCTCCCCTCTTCTTGCAGCGAGCCGCCCCGCCGGCCTATGGCGAGCCGCCGTGCTCCGCAGTGCCGGGGCATCCTAGCGACCACTTCCGCCCGGCGCCGTTGCCATGGGCACGGGGACGCCCCAGCCGAGCCCGCCCGGCAGGCTCAGATCCCGACAATAATAACACAAACGGCACGAATAGAGTCCAGGAGATTTTTTTTTTTATTGCTTTTACCAACTTTCTGAAATGTTACAAAAGATAATTTTATTCTAGCAGTAATTAAAACAACACAAAGGCTCAATCTTTCACATTAAAGACAAGTCTGAGAGTTGTGTTTTCTGTATAAACTGAATGTTGATTCTACAGTTGGAATAATGTTTTCATTTGCTTTGGATTTGGTTATAAAGTAAGAAAATGTCACTGTAATTAGAAAAGCAGTTGTAAAAAATTCAAACCGTACAGAATGTAATCACATTTCAAACAAAGAGTATTAAAATCAAAACCTCAGTTCAGCCGCAGAAGCCGAACCTGGAAGACACTTTTGCACAGGAGCATCAGCAACAATAGAAAAGAAAATACTATAAATGATGTGTCTTTCCAATAAAATAATTTAGAAAAGTATCAATTTTCAAACTTATTCATTATTCCAAATAAATGTCAACAGATACTAAATTCAATATGAAAGTGTCTTTAGGTTAACTTCAATGCCAACTACAAAGTTCTAGAGGTTTTCACTAAAAACATTATAAAATAAAATCGACTTAAACATACTGAGCAATTTGCTTTATTTATAGCACTACATTTATGCTGACTCAAAGCTGTGTGCCTCTATAGTCTTAAAATTTGCCATAAAATAAATTACTGTTCGTATAAAGAAAATATTTCACACATTTGTACTGTAATTTTGATAATATAAACTTGATAATTTTGTCCTAGATGAGTAATTAAAACATTACTAATCATAAGAAAGCAAAAAGAAAACTAAGCTCGCTGTGGTGTTCATCTGACAGACTAAATTTATGAACTGAAAGTCATGAACCATTTACCTTATGATTTACAGAACATATGTACAAGACAAACCCTTCAGAATGGTGCAGGCTCTGTGATGTGGCAACTCTTTGTTACAGATATATTTTACAGCCTGTTGAACCTGCCTTTAGGAAGTTACCATATAAAGACAGAGATGAAAGTGAATGAAGCAAATGGTAACTTATGGAACAACTTTCATTAAATGTGGAAAAAATGGCCAAGATACTTGGTTGGAAAAAAACACCATTAGGGCACCAAATTCTACCCTAAAAGCTTTTATGATGACAACCTTGGCAATTTGGAACATTTCACAGAACAAGTGTAAAAATATTATAACTGCAAAATTAATCTAGGAAGAAACTGTCATTAACTTGGGCATATGTAAACAGAATGAGAAACATGTCACTGTAATACATATGAAAACAGTAAGAATCAGTTGTCTAGAATATAATTTAAACATGCAACTGCCTTTTAAGTGATACATTTTAGATGATAATTTAAATGGAGTGGTCAAAATTAAGACCTACACTTCATGTAAACATTCATATTTTTAAATAAATTAGAAAAAAAATAAAAGAAAAAAAAGGAGAAAAGAAAAGGGGGGGAGAAAAAAAAAAAAAAGAAAAAAAAAGGGACTTCCTGAGGTGGCTCTGAAGCCAGGTACACAGTAGCACTAAGCTCCATTCCAGGAAACCAAGGCAGGGTTGTTTATTTTCCTCTGACTGTTGGAATGGAAATACATTGGTGTAGTTTTTATAGGGCTTAAGCCCTATGAAAAAAAATCAATGCACAGCAATTATCACTGCTCTTTTGCATCCATTAAGGCAAAACATATCTAAATACAAACTACCTTCTTAGCCATTTTATTTTAATACCATGTGTGATTTTAAAGCAGAGGAGGTGTAAAATGAGCAGCGAATCACTTAACCATGGATTATCAATAGGGATTTATGCACTTAATACCAGATCTTCTCCTGTTCATATGGGGGAAAAGTGCAAGTGTAACATGCTACTACTGCCCAGGAATACTGGAACTAAAGACAGATTACTGTAAACTGGTTTGCCGAGTTATGGTCTTTCTGGCACTGATTAAAATATTTACACAATTAAATAAATACTGTGATTAGACTTGTGGGCCTTTGGTTTTGTTTCCTTTCTACTTCACTAGAAATATATCCATTTCTTGTAATATTGACCTAAACTTAACCCTCCCAAAGTAGAAGCCAGATACAAGGTGTGCAGCACCACAAAACCCTGATTTCCAGCATTAAAGACTTAGATATTCAAGAGGCTTATAGTAATTTTTTGTGTCTTTGGAAACTGTTGCAGGACTGTGAACATTAAGTGTAAAATAGTACTGAGAGGACTAATACAGAAGTCATGTGTTGTGGACGATGCTACCTAAAATGCTCAAAATACCTTCCCTCTTCGATTCAGCAAGAGCTACTTAGTAGTCAACAACTAGCATGCAGATATGTGCTTTTTACTTTTTTAAATAATGTAAAAAGTTTTGGGAAACCACCTGCTGTAGTTTCACTGTATCTCAGTCTGATCAGAGGGAGAACATGGGTTATTTTCTAAAAGAGCACAAACTCAAACTAAGGCACAAGCTACACTATTATCTAAGAACACTGGTCATTACATAGTATTGGTCAAACTGCTAATGCAGACCTCACTTCCTTTGCCACTGACCTGAGCCTTTGTTATGACAGTTTGGATACCATTATTCATATTGCTGTACACTATGATTTCCTTTCTTTAAACTGTCTTCTTGGAATTCAGTCAAGTGAAAATAGGGGGAAAAAAACAAACAAACAAAGAAAACTGTTAATTAATTACATTACATTTAAAGGGAACAGTAACAGTTCACGTAATGTAAATGCTATTTTTAAATGTTTCTATTTATTCCCACTGATTGCTTTATTTTTGTAATATACAATTACCTTCCCTTGCGGTGACACTTGGCTGAAGCGCACCAAAATTCCACCTCAAATGGTATTTTCAGATAAAGTCTGCTCTCCTCCAGAATCATTTCCTTTTGCTAGACCACCTCAATTGGTCCATGATAGAACTCCCAAATTTGCCAAAAGCCAAATTAAGCAAACAGCATCTTCTAATTTTAAATGAGCACAGATTCAAATTAAAGCCATTGCAATACATCCAGAAAGGGCTAGTGCCAATACAGAATGTAAAGGGATGGAAAGTAAATAAAAAACCAAACAAACAACTAAGGCATAAGGCAAAAAGTATTAACAATGAAAACTGCGCAGGTAAGTGATCAAGATTTTCATTTATATATAAAATTCTCATTATTTGAAATATTATAGTGCTAAATTCTAGAACTTGAAAACGTTAAGTATAATAAATGCACACTGACTATCTTTATCAGTGGAGCCCCCAAAAATCCCATTTACTTTAATAAATGAATATTTATTTCTTCAATTTATTGTACATGATAAAATTTATACTAATTAAAATAAATAAAACGTTTAAAAATAAGTTGGTGTGCTATCATATATGCCCTTTACAATGGAGAGGATCAGAACTGTACACACAAATACCACAAGCAATTAGTAATCCATAAAATAATACTGATCATAAACCTATTCCAGAATTAAACTACAGCTAATTTAATCAAATACACAGTAAATTTAAAACCCAAGAAATTTATCTGATGAAGACATGAAACTTTTAGAGTATTTCATTCTTAGAGTTGAGTAAATCAGATTCTGAAAGTTGATAGAAAAAAAATGCAGGTAAAAACCAGAAGAAAAGAATTCAAGAGTACTGATGTGGTGAGTATGTATAACTTCCTAGAGACCAAATTGCTGCCTGTAAATTCAAATTATATTGTGTAAACATGGAGTGTCCAGAATGGCAAATACTGACTTGGGGCTGTAACTACAATTACTGCACTCATACTGCTACTGGACAATAATGAAAAAATCAAGAAAGAATTGGGGAAAAAAAAAAAAAAAAAAAAGGAAAGAAAAAGAGAGAGAGAAAGCAGGAAACCAGGGTATTTAGATATATTTTAAGGCTTAACTAACCATCTGACTTAGGGCTCTAGACCACTTCTGTAGAATGGGAGAGACAGATTCCAGAAAACACTAGCATGGAGTGGAGACATAAACCACAGTAGTTCTTGTCAACAGCACATTAATATTTGTTCTACGAAACCACAAAAAAAAGTATACCCTGCAAAAAACAAGCACTAATTGCCTGCATGGAAAACAAACTTCTGTAGCACACATTATAAACAGAGGTATTGCAAAACTTTAAACCATGTGGACCAGTAACCATCAGCAAAAGCTGATGTAACTTTTATGCGCATATTGATTATTAGAAATAATAAGCATTCATTACAGTCTTCCTATTTAAAAATTAAAATAAAATTTCCAATAAAATAAATAGCTGAAGTGTGATTACCACTCATTTTACTTGTTGGAAAGATCTTCGCATTACGCAAGCATATCTACAGTGCCCTAAACAATGGTAGAATTAAATATATGTTGCTCCTTAAATTGGAAATCACACTTCCATGGTATAATATCCTACAGTGATACATATATACACACACAAATACACACAATTCCTCTTGGTTCCGTTCTATAAAGATGTTTCAGCATCCACATATTTCACAACATGCGATTTTTCCACTTCTATTTTCACACTTTCTGGTTTTTCAGGGCTGTTTGAAAACAAAGAGGAAAATGTAAGGTTTGGTTCACTTTCAAACATTTTATACTTTACAAAGAAAACAGAGTATTTACCTAGAGACACTTTTATGACGCAATTCTATTAAATTTTAGTAATTGTCAAATACTATTCGTAGGAACAGTACAAGCATAAAGAGAGAAAATGCCAATTTCTCATCCATAAATACCATTTCCAATCGCACTATTATTGATTTGAACTGTTTTGCAAAACATCTTTAAAAAGAAAAAAAAAACAACAACACAGCAACCTGCAAAACTGCCTAGTTAAAACGACTCAAAATTACTTAACAAGCAATACTACCAACACTGCTTTATGGGCTGGGAAACAATTTTGTTCATAACATGAGACTGGGAAAATATTCCTGTCTTTTCAAAAGGGAGAACCACACCTGCAACAACGGTAGAGGACAGCTGCAAACCTGAATAAATGTCCATTCAAGTGAAGTACCAGATGCTAAAGACAAGTGGTTGTCTGGCACCTGAACAACTAACACTCTTAGGAACACAACCCACTGAACAGTGCCTTACCCAAGGACAAAAAGGAATGTCCCGAAGTAGATGCAGGACAGTAGAAAATAAAATGGAAGAGTGTAATAGGAAGGATTCTCTAGGCATGAGTTTTAGAAGAGATGACACACTTCTAGAGTTGCTCTCTAAGGAAAAAAATGTATTAAAAATTCATACAAAGAGAAAAATTCTGGGACTCCTTGGAAAATACAAGTGTGTGCAGACTCCACAGAGTCTGTAAACTATGACAGATGGTTGAGGGAGAAAGAAAAAGCAATCTGGATCAGTTCAGGAAACACAAAGAAAAAAATTAAGAAATGTATTTTTTAAAAATATATGATTTTTAATAAATAATGCCAACCCACACAACATGTACTCTGGAATTATAAGAGACATGCTTGCATTAGTATTTGAAACTGATAAATCTGAAAATAGCACTGCCTACAGAACCATTTTTACCTCAGCACTAAATGTCTGTCCATATCACAAAATGAAGATTGTCACACAGAAAAGCCTTAACAGAACAGAGATGAATAATTTACTGGTAATTACTTCGGACTGAGCAGTGGTGACATCTCTAAATCTTGAGAGCACCCACTAGGCAAAAAAGTGTAGCAAATATCTCAAAACAGCAACCAACTGAGTCAAGGCTCAAGGAAGTCCTGCCTCCTAACATTTCCTAGATTATTGTAATATCAGATTGCCTCTTGAAAGAGCTTGTTTCTGGCACCAATGGTTTTTATTTTCAATTTATAGTTTTAGCAGGTTTTCTACCAAGATGGAATTTTTACTGTATTAAGTTGAAGCAGGGCATGTTATGGAATAAAAGGGAAATGTCCAATAGCAAAACATAACAAATAGATGGAATAATGAATTCAACCTTAGTAATTAAAAAACATTGCAAACTTGTCAGAAGACTGATTTGCTAGTGCTGCATATAATTCTATACTAAATTAACATACTCAGGAAACAGGAAAGCACAAGATGGGAGTTGGAAGCATCCACAAATTCTGTAACAGATTTCTGAGAATTCAACATGAAAGAAAACAATTAAAAGAAGAGGGCAGACTGACAGATTTGCTCTGTTACCTATCTAATGCCTCTATTATTTGTCTTCCTGACAGTCTTGCTCATGTGGTACTAAAGTTTTAAAACCGTTTCAATTAAACATGAAATTAAACATTTTAGAAGCGTTGAAACAAATATAGGCTAGAGGTTCACTCGAAATGGTGCCTGCACTCACTAGTCTCTTCAGCTTTTCCTCTTCACCCTTGGCTGACCTGCTGTCTGGCCAAAACAAAGCCGTATTTCCATGCCTAATTAGGAGCAACACACGTGCTGAATAGTCAGACGGTACACAAGTGCTAAGTGACCACTCACTTCTACTGTTTCCATGATGCAAGCTCAACGGCACCTGAGACAGCTTGCACAGTTATGTATGAACACTCCCTTCTCACCACAAACTCCTCCACTGAGACATTATTTTATACAAAATCTGACAATTTCTCATCTCTGAAACATGCCTTCCTTCGACAGAATTGGCTGAAAGGGATCAGCCAAGAGAGATGCATAGACAACAGGACTGCATAAGCTTAGTGTTCCAAGGCAACCATGCCCATTCTCCCCTCTTTCCTACATAAAAAACTACTAAGCAATAGCTGCATTGTGATGGAACAGTCCACAGATACCAGTCCCTATAAAATACAAGCCTTTCAGGAAGTTGGGGATATTCCACATACTCAGGTTATGGTTTATTTCCCTTGATAGATTTGGCCAGACAGGAAAGAAACTAGGACAGAACACCAGAATGATTCACGGCACACAGAGTTGGTTGTTGGATGGGGACCTCACCAAGAAAAAGACTCCTTCCTAACCAGCACAGAAGATGCATGTCAGCTCACAGGGTATGTTCCCAGCACTGAGACTCCTGATCTGTCCAATACCTCATTCAAACATACCTTGTGCTCAGTGAGCGTAGTATTTGAGCCAGGTTTAATTTTTATAATATTAAAAATGAGTTGAGGAAAATTAATCAAGCAACCCACCCACAGAACCATGGAGCAGATCCTAGGCAGCATAAAGCAACAATGATAGTGCTGGACTTACCTTTACTCCCAGTGGAATTTGTAATGTTGAGGATCAAACCAATCCCATGCTCATATACAGTCTAGTATTTAGAAACCCTAAGCCCATCAGAGCAGTAAACACTTGTATTAAGCAAATAAAGAGTAATTTTAAAATTACTATTTACAATAATACATTCATTAAAAAATTCCTTATAGAAATTGATAAACTTCATAATGAAGAAAAATTAGGTTTTAATTCAAGTTCCTCTAAATTAAAAGTCAGTAACTGAGATTTACAAACCACGTATACTTTTTTCTTTTTATACACATTTCAAGAAATACAAGTACAGCTGCGAAACACAAGACCACAGTTAGAAAATGTGAGTAATTATAGCTACCTCAGGTTAGCTCTGGTTACTTTGGCATTCTCAGTACTCATGGAAAGAGCCTTCCACTGTGCAGTTTTGGCCATTTCATCTGATATGTTTACAACTGAGGGATCAATGCTAAAGAACAAACATACTTTCTGGTTAGTATTCAATTCCTTGCACCAGTATTATACTTACTGTCACTCATCATTTACATCAGTTGTGCCCTTTCTCAATATTTACACTGCCACAAGTTGAGTTCATCTCTCAAAAACGTATTTCAACAAAAAATTGAGAATTTAACTCATTAGCACTACTGTAATCACACAGCATCTGGCAAGTTTTTCACATAGATACCACTAAGACATTGAGAGTATTTGAGAGATAACTCATATGCTCAGAAACTATGAACTTAATCTCACTGCTAAGGCTTTCATAAACCAGTTACTTTCACTGGCTTCCAGGAAATGATCAAGGGCAAAAGAGCAAATGTTAATAAAGTTTCAAAACTGGTATCTCAGGTGAGATTTAAAACTACTAAAAGCCTTACTAGACATTTTTCAAGGTTCTTTTGCCAGACCACTCCCCTCCCAAGTTCTGTAGAAGATAAGTTTACCCTCAGAGATGGTAAGATTTTAAAACCTATTTCCACTTTTGTCCTCCACACATTTACATGTACAGTGGACTTAGGTGTTGCCTGTAGGTATGTTTTCTGTCCTGTTCCATGCTTAAGCTTCACAGTCTACCTCAGGTTATCTGTAAGAGTTTTTCAAATGGAAGAGAAATCTTTCAAAGCCATTTTTCCTCAGGAATCCCCATATGATACAAGGCAGCAGAGTACACAGTAAACACATGCACACAATTGATGAAATCATAGATCTACTGTGAGAGCAATTAGCAACTCAATTGTTTTTTTTTTAAAAAAAGTTTTAGCATTTAGTATTTTCATTTTAATTGCTTAAGTGTGATTAAGCCTGCTCTCCAAGTAGTACTCATCAGCAATAATTTCTGCCTGTTCCCAATTCACATCAAGGCAGACCTGATACTACCCTAGATTCATAGGAAGGCCAATTTTTAACCTAGGAACCCTCAGAGAGGAAAAGGGAACTGGTAAGCTACTTATCTGTCACATCTTCAGAGCATGTCAGAACAGACAGTTGTAGAATACTTGACAACTCAGTTAAATACAAGCCCCAGCAACGGAGAGACATACTGAGACAAAATGCCTTCCAAAGCTGAAGGAATTTCCATCAGTGAAATTCCAGCACTCCCTTTTCTGGAAGAGAACCTGTCCTCACATTTACTTGCAGAAAATGACCTTTTACTAAAGTAAAAAGGGGTGCCTGTAAAAAGGGGTTTTTGCACCACAGAAGTTACTGACTTTAGCCCTCACTAAAGTAAACCAAAGAATTACACACTTAGACTTCATCTGAAAAACCCAAGTGGCTGGTAAACACATGGCTCAACTGATGCTATTAGTTGCTTAATGCTCAGTATTTCATGCACAGTAGCACACAAATATTCCACAAAAACTGACCAAGGATGCTTCTTCACCTTTAGTACAGCTGGTCGAAATTGAGTCATCTGATCTGTTCAAGATGGTCATGTAAATTTATAATTAAGAAGCAGTTTTAAAGAACAATGCAACATAAAAATACTATTGTAGCATCATGAGATATACCTTCATAATTCCTAATCATGGCTTAGTTACAAACTTGGGTGAAAAAAAATTAATTCAGCCCATACACCACCAACTTCATATAAAGCAAATTACACCATGTGATATAAAAACTTTTAAAAGACCAACATTTTATTATACCTGTATTTCAGGGTTTTTACAGGAAAATTCAAACTTGCTTCTCCGTATGCAAGGTGTACACTGTCATTGTCTGAAAGCATTCTCTCTGCTTCCTGTAAATTCCAAGTAAGAAGTTTGTAAAAGTAGTCATGCAGCAGAAACCAAAGTATCTTGTGCTGACAGTTATTCCATAGGGATGAGGGGAATTTCCCTGTAGGTACTGGAGTTGCACACGGGAGATAAAGCTTATGACCTTTTCTCTTAGAAGTGTTTTTATTCAGGAAGGGGAGATGGGAGAATGGGGAAGGAGGGTGTTACAAGCTTCATAAGGAATTCAGCTAGCTGATGTACAGCAAGGCTGGACTTCTATGGAGAAGTTATACAAGCTATATTACTATTCTACTGGTAACTAGCAGTTGCCTTTAATGACAACTCTGCAAACACACATGAACCTTATATCCCTGATACTGTGAACAGTTTTGTGATTGATAAGAACCCTACTCCACCACTTCAGTCTCCCTTTCCTTTTTCTCACTCTCTTAATTTTCTCTCCTTCTAATCTGATGAAAGACAAAAAAACTCAACGCTTTTTGTGCTAACTACTGCTTCTTTCCACTTTGCTTGGTAATTTTAATCACTAAGAAGAATCATAGTCCATAATAGCATAATTGAAACAGTGACTTAATTCCTTAACTGTCAGCAACAGTCTCTCTAGAATTAAATCTCATTAGTAAAGAATTTCAAAATGTATATTTGGTATACAAGGTCATATGCTCAGGTCACTTAAAATAATTTTTCATCGTATTATTTCCTAGTAATTTACAATATGCTTAGTTTGATTGTTTCACACTTACTTCTTTCTCTTTTATCTTTTTGTCATCTTCTTTCTTCTTTTTACTTTCTGGCATAAGATCATCAAGCCAACTAAGCTCTCTTTTGGTGAAACATAAATCCATGAGCTTGCGAATGAACACTAAAGCTAAAACCTTAAGGGAACCATAAATGAAATAATTTATATTTAACTATTTAAATGAACAAAAATTCACACGCACTTTCAGTACACTCAATCTGTAATTGAAGGTCTTTTTCCTACTGCTAGTTTTATCTTACCACAAAGTTAAATAATTTCCACTTTCAATAGCTATTCACAATTGAACTGCTTATTTTCAGGAAATGAAAAAGTCTTGGTGTTTCAAATGGGTTTTTGGTTTCTTTCCCACTCCTTTCTTTCTTAAAGCAACAAACATCTTTTAAAGAGATTCTGGATGATACACATACTCTTGTAAAATTACTAACTTGTAAAAAAGAAAACTTACCATCATAGGGAAAACAACAGCAGCTGCAGAGGCTTTAATCACCCACAACAGAACTAGACAAGTGAGCTGAATGACTGTAAAGATGTGAACCTTCCAGAGTGGCACATAGCGTAAATAAATCAAGTCAGGTTGATGTTTGGCGGGCATTCCAAACAGTTTTATACGGTCAAAAAACTGCATGGAAAATAAAATCATCCTTAATTATTTTATGTCACTCCAGAAGAAAATAAACATTCTTAGGGGACTCCAGAACGGTAAGCTAATTCCAAATAAAACACTAATGAAGGACACTGAATATTCAAGGGGGTGCAACTGGGAGCTATTTTGTTGGGGTTTTCCCCGCCTCACACTAATAATAAAAAATTCCACAATATTTCAGAAAATTTGATTCTTTGCTAGACTATTGAAGGAATGTATTAGAAAGAACTGAGAAGTGAAGGCACAATACTGTAAGAACAATAGTAACACTCAGGAAATTATCCTACAATAGGGACTAACGTTATTGTGCCTCACATAATGCAGTGTGTTACAGTTTCTTTTTCAGTCAGTGTTAAACAAATGGCTCATTAATATTAGACTTTACCTGAATGCCTTTTAATGAAGATACTCCCATGTAAAGAAATACACCATACAAAACTGGCATTGGAATAAACTGCGGAGGAAGAAACACCCACAGTTAAAAGTGGAATCAACAGAGCGTAAGATAGCAGTCCATTTCAGTGGAAGACACGGGAAAGTTATTTTTTACTTTATATTTTACTGAAGTGAAATCTGTAAAAGCTGAGGTCCTTTATTTATAGAGAAAATATATGTATCATTGAGTAGCAAAAATTCTAGAACTAACAAGGCTATCGCCAGGATTAAAAAAGCAGTTCTGTCTTGACTGCCCATTCATTCAATTTTCTAGGTTGCAACCGAGATCTGTATTCATGCTAAGTGTACTGCTTTATGTTGCAATTTGATAGGAACTGTATTGACACTATTCTGTACAACTTTACGAAATTGCCATATGAAGTTTTACTTTTCATCACTTATCTTGCATTTCTGGAGCAGTCGAAACAAAAACCCCACCATACCAACTGAGCTATCAAAGTCTGCTAATTTTTCAGAGCTATATTTTGTTCCAGTAAGATCAATCTAAAGCTTACTACAGATAAAATTTATAATAATTTAAATAAAAACACATAATAAACATCTTATATAATTTAATATAATTTTATCTTTTAATATAATTAAAAGCCTACTAAGATAACAAAGTTGTCCACTGATTTCAGGGGTACTTGCATCAAACCTCTGCAGTGAAGCTTTTGAGTAAAGAACAGCCAACATAAAATTTGAAATCTTAACAAAAACTGCTGCTATCAAGCTTGAACAAAAGACTTTAATTCAACACTGTGGAATAAAACTACACCTTAGGGATTCATTACTCTGTGTGTGTGTGGCTAGTGTCTTCACTGTAAGCTCTATAATTTGATATTTTAATTTCTACTACATTAAATCAGTATAAATCCACACATGGAACAAAAGCACAGCAACTGATAGATACAAGGCTTTGTTCTCCTTACTTCTTTTGAACAATAACAGTCATTCACACTGAAAAAGAAAAACATTTAATAAAAACCAAGATAAATTATTTCATTCCTAATACCACAAATCCATAAAAAAAGCGGTAGTTTCTAAGAATCCGCTGTTCAAACACGGGGTAAACATCTTGCTTCAGCAATCAGCACTTTTAACTTTTGCTTTTGAGCAACAATAAATCTATTTCATTACTTTTGCTTTTGTTTCTGATTACTTGCATTATATAGCAAAGTTCTTGGTAGCTTTTCAACCAGAGATTGTCAAATCTGAACACATATTTTTAGTAACTACTACGGCCTTTTTGTTTTCAGACTTTGACATTCTTTAACACATACAAATGGTCAACTATTTAGAATTTATAATATATAACTCTAATTACTAACCTATAGTTGTGTGTTCACAGATTTATTCCTTCCCATTATCTAAACTTAAGAACCTACATTTCTTCTGAAATTACTTATGATCTGTCTTTAAACTGACTTTTGCAAAGTTCTATAAAGGTGCTAGCAATGATGCAACATCTGATATTCTGGCAACAAGTAGACAGCAGTTCTTTTGTTTCTCCCTTTTAACTACAGGATTTGAAACAACTAAGCAGAAGTTGAACAGATTGTAGTAAAATCTGAGCAAAAAGTGAACTGAACTGAATAGTTTTCGTTCAATAAAGTCCTTGAAAGGTCACTAGGGATATAAATTAAGAGACAAAGTGTACTCTGGAGCTACAATACAACCAGCAAAATCACTATTACACCATGATGATGCATAAGATAATCTTGACACTATAAGCATCAAATGAACTTTTATAAATTGATGATAAGAACAAGAAGTGAACAATATAATTTCTGACGATCACCTTTTAAAACAGATGGTCATGTTCCTTCTGCTGTATCATATTACTTCTGCTCAAGTAACTTCATATCTTTATCACACTCCCTTTCTCTCCCCATTTATGCACTCACATAAAAACTACAGTTTTTAGTTAACATGGATTCAGTAAACTAAAAAAGAGCTGGCAAAAAAACCAGATATGACAGACAAAGGTTGCTTTTTTACTACTCACTACATTCCTATTTTTCTCAGATTTTGGTTTCTTACATCCTCCCACACTGTTTCTATTCAACTAACATCTGTTGCTAAAAAAGAAATTTAAGAATGGGTCCAGGCATGTTTTACTTAACGTAATAAAACTTCCTAACATTATGAAATACTAAATCACAAAATCAAAAACATGAAGAAGCTATTTTGGAAAAACTGCCTTTTACCTTTAACACAGAGGTCATGAACACTGACATGCCCATCAGCACAAAAATCATCAATCCTGTCACTCGCTGCTCCCGGATTCCCAAAAACTTTGGTTGTTCTCCTGGTGCTGAGCATTGAGATTCAACTTTCAGGCTGTTAACGTGACTTATAGACAGGACAGTTGCAGCAACAAACCACGGTAAACCCATGAGAGAACATATCCCCAACATAACACCAACCATCAGCAGATCAAGATGATAACCACAGCCTTTCTGTAAAATCAAGCAAACAAATAACTTGATAAATTTCCTATTTATATGATACCAAATCTCCAACTCAGCCGGTAAATAATCTGTTATTATAAAAGTTAAATACTTAGAGAAGATCCACAAAATTGTATTTGTTCTTTATTAGTCAAGTTAAACATGTATTTAGCAGCTGTTGTTAATGTTCCACAAATTGGCAGAATTAATCTGATTTAAAATAAACTTGACTTATGCAATACTAGGTTTTCAGAAAAATTACTTTTACCTTCAGTTTATGCTCTTTCCTGTTTATAATAACAGCTGTTATTTGTTGATCCATGAAAATGAGAATAGTACAGAGTAAAGCAGGAACAGCAGCAACTAAGAGTGTCCACCAAGGGTTGCTTCCCAGAGGATCTATGAACCATCCTCGGTCTTTTCGGGTGGGCTGTAAAAAACCCCCCAAAACAGTAAGAATTAAATTACTAAAATAGAATGCAGATTTTATTGCTGCAAACAACTTCAATGAACAACAGATCAGTTTCTTAAATATTCATTCAGATTTTTTTTCCAATGGCTTTGATCAAAAGAATGATTTAGCTGTTACAAGCGAACATGACATTTATATGGAAAAAATTAAAACAAATCCATTCAATCCCTCATATTTGTACATTTGCACAAAAGAATGCTTCTTTTTCAGTTATAATATAAAGCAGTCTCTTCTGTCAGGTGAGACATATATCCAAAAAAAGAAAAGAGAGACTACTTGATCAACTACACTGTAAGCAAAAAAGAGACATTTCTGTTTCTATACAACTCCATTGTTCTATTGTCCACAAAACTACAAGCATTTTCAAAAGGTTTTATTTCTTACTTCAAATTTCTCTGGAACAAGGAGCTTAGGAGAAGGTATTCCTACAAAATAGTCAATCAAAACCATGATTACTATGGTCAGAAATACTGCAAAGTCACTGATGGTAGAACGCACCTATAAAGGAAAGACTTGTGTTAAGTCTTGCTTTTTCATCATTACAGTTTGCATGTACAGAAAAACAATTTTTCCCCTATGAGAAATGAAGTCTGTCTATATTATACTGAACATTACAGATATTACATATATTTTCTCTATTTTTTTCATACTAAGCCACCAGCCAGCAAATGAAGCTGTGTAACACAAACATTCTGTACATCCAATTACCTTATAATTCTGTTCATCTGATTACCTCATTTAAAAGTGGTCTACTGCAGGAGGTAAATTACTTAAAATAACTCCCTCATCATCTCCCTGTCCCCTCAACCCTACTAGGAGACTGAGCCATCACAGCTAGTCTCTTGTAGCTTAAGTCAGTAACATTACTGAAGAGTTCTGAAATCAATATTCATACATTTGATGTTTGAATTGATAGGAGGCAGATAATTTGCAATATATTCAGACTATTATTATTTAATTTTATTAAACATAAGGGAACACATTGCAGGGGTAGGCTGAGGTCTATAGAAGATCTAACCACTTCATTCTGCCTACAAGAAAATGTGTAAATCAGTCCAAGGATCATCATCATATTAGCCTCTATTAGAAAAAGCAATCCCCTAGGAACCACTCAGAACTCTACATACATACAATCAGTCGTTTTGTATGGATAAGTGAGAAAAACAGCAGCAGTATTATCTCTCCAAATGATATCTGGCAATCCCCATTAACATGGGGAGATGGACTCTTTAGGTCTTTCAATGTTGTTACAACTATACCGAAGTACAGAATAAGAACTGAACTTTCTACAGCCAATATCTTTCCTCTAATGTCTTCGTTTTTGCAATTATTAGCTAATTTTTGGGTTTTGATTTCCTTTTCTGTCCTAAAATAAGTATCTCAATAAAAATTTCAATTAAAGTTATATTAAGGTATTTATCACAAGATAAGAGAATTAATCAGAATTACCTTAGTTGGGAAATAGCGTTTAGTCTTGAATTTCTTAAGGAAAGAGGAGAGGAAAAATGTTGTAAAGAATAGTATGACAGACCAGAAGAGAACATCTGGAATATATGGTCCATGATGGCCACAAGCTGATCCACGAAACACACCATGAAATTTTAAACATTCCTGCAAAGAGAAAACTCTTTAAATGTTTATGTTTTATTCATTTAGTATATTCAATCAAGCTTGCAACTTTTCTATACAAAACACATTTGAGAACATCCACAATCACAAGAAATGGGGTTCTTTCCTTCATTCCTACCTACCCTGACATGCCAAAAATGTGTGCTGTCTGTTCAAGAAAAGCCACAGTAGCCACCACTGATTATTTCAGGATGCCAAAATGTTGGGAGATGCCCAAGAAGAAACAATTTCTTTATATTCACATAATTTCTATTTTGTTTTTCAAAGCATTGCAAGATAGAATGTATATAAAATAAAGACTAAGGAGAAGCAGAAGATCCAACATCAACTTTCAAGGTAACGGACATAAAAAAACCCATCTCCTCAGTTTCTACCACCTCTTTACTGATGATTTTGTTTTGTTCTGATACAGTTAAGGAAAACAAACAGAGTTTGTAAGATAAGATTAATCCAACCATAAGAAAGAAGTTTCTAGCAAAGTGGAAATGCATGGTAAATAATGGATTTGAATAAAAAGGAAAAGCAGGTCAGATGATCCCTCTCCGAAAGGCTTACGGAAATGCAAAGCAAAAAGTTAAAAGAAGACACATGGAGGTACAAGGAATCAACAAGCCAATAAATCAAATGGTTGGAAGCAGCACTGCCACAACCTAGTCTTAAAACAGAGTAATTTTTTGAAAATGTAACTTATGACAAAAATTCTTCCTGTTAACAACCTAGTCTGATTATAAGCGCCACCAAATCGTGGATCAGTTCCATCTCTCAGGTAAGACTAAAGATGATTTAGAAGATGAAAAGGCATATAAAATAAATAATAACTGTAAAGTAAATATAAAAACTAAGTCCAAGAGAAACTGTTATTCCAAGTGATTATGGTAAACTAGAAGTCATTGGGGGTACACAGAAAACAGCACCACTAAAGCCCAAGTAAAGCACTGAAGTTTTAGCATAGTACTTTTGCTGTGGAAAACACCTACTTTCAGTGTGAATGTCTAGGCTTAGACACAATGAGAGCCCATATACAGATTGCTGCTGCTGCTTTTGTAGCCTCAGATGGCTAAAGTGGGCGCACAGAGCTAGCAAATGCAACACAAAATTTATAGCAGATTCAAATCACTGAAGATTTAGGTGGAAACAAGATGCCAGGGTACACAAAGTGGCTGTTTACAGCTGCATTTAGTCTACTGCACACCACCAAAGGAACTACTAATCAGCAAAAGTGTTTCTCCCTAAAGCCTCCCAGAGCATTTCCACATGGTAACTTCACCTACTCACAAAATCAGATACTGGTATAAAATGCCCACTTTTAAGACTGTTCCAAATAGTTATTTTCAATTTCAAATAATTATTTTCTTCCAATCAATATTTAGGTAGTTCCTTTGATTCTGTTGTAGCTATACCAGTGTCCAACAAACTAATCGAACATGTTTGCTACCACATTTTGACTGCAGATTCCATCTTCACATCATCTTAAAAATATTTGTTCATCCTTTCCAGGAAATGGAAGAAATAAAGTTCCTGATTATTCACCTTATCATATTCACCTGCACTTCAGAAAAACAACTGTGCTGCCTACCAGTGGCTACCTAAAACAGACTATTTTAGCATTACTATTAGCATTTACTAAAATATTAGTATTTATTGTCCTGGACTTATTCATCAAAACCTCTAAAATGACTGTTTAAAGCCTTACAAAAGGAATGAGAGGGTTCAAAAATACAGTTTTAAGGAAAACAATCCAGGTTCAAAAAAAACCTTCAAAGAAATCAGATGAAAAAATATTAATCAAACTGGTACTGTGCAGATATTTTTTTATACATACATACACACAGATATATATATATATATATATATAGATCTCAGATACTCACAGAAACTGTAAGGTTGCTCCATGCTATATCTTCCCGAGACTTATTCATACTCCTCCACACACGCAATGTTTCATTGCTTGGTTTCTCAGGCTCAGAACACACACATCTGAAGGGAAGGAAAAAAAAATTAGTTTTCCTGCTTTTAAGCTGTATGTGCAAAAATGCAGCAATTTGCAGTAAATTCAAAAATCCCGAAGAGTTTAAGCCAGAGTTTATCCCAACCTTCTATGAAAGAAGCGAAGTACAAGGCTTCTCCTTCCATCATGTGAACTATTGGTATGGTGGGGGAAAGAAAGAATCAAAGAGACAACTGCTGAGGAGGTTTAACAAACATTACAAAAAAAACCCCAAAACTATGTATTTTAAAGAATGAGAAGCAGGTAAGATATTGATTTAACTATGTGACTGATCTGCCAGTTTTTAAAAATAAAAGCACCTGAAAACAAAATGAGATACAAAACATATGTGGACTTGTACATATTGTAACAGATGAAGACAAAAATCCAAATGACTCCACTTACCAACAACCCTATACTAACAAATATTGTGTTATTTTTAAATAATTCCACAAACTTGGCACAAATAGTTTTCTATGACTGTGTACCAATGAAAGTTTTTAGACTTTTATACAGCATAACATCCCACAATGAGTGAAACTTCAATTATTCTTCATACTAACATAAGAGGAAAGAGAGATATTGAAACCATTTAATTTTAAAAACTGGTGTAGATGACTACATTTCAACAACTCCTTTAACTCTTTTTCAAACCAGACTGTGCCCTTAGCCTCTAGAATTTTCTTTTGTCTGTTCTTAAGTTAGCCATTTATCTTGTATTTACACACCTTCTGACCTATACATGATCAAAAATAAGTGAGCTAACTGAAGATATAAATGCATACATTGCTTGGGTTTAAAATAACTGTATACATGCTTTTTATAGTAACATTTTTGTAGGAGTAGAAGTGTCCCTCCCTACATGCAGTGTTCTGCAAACTTGGACCAGAAACCTTTCTGTCAGATAGGTTGACAGAAGTATACATCAAAAATTAAAAAACTAAACCAAAACACATATTTGATGTAATGGGATGTTTTCAAATAAAATTGAAGTAATTGAAGTACACCAAATGGTAAGTTTAACAGGTAAACATTTATGTAGAAGAAGAGAAACAGGTAATAAGCAAGAAATGAGTCTCCTTTTCTATGAGATTCGCCAAGACACTAAAAAAACCCCCAAAGAATCATGGAAGAGTAAATTTGCATTTGATGGTGTGAAGGTAAACAAGGAAAAAACCACTAAATGTGCATAGGCAAAAAGAACCTAGATTTGCAAAGCATAATGTTTTGGGAACTTAAAAAATAGTAAGTAAACGTATTTTGTTAGTTGAATCTTAAGAGTAACAGCAAAAGGAAACAGGAGAGGACTGAAAAGCAGTAATTCATGCAAGGTAGTTGCAAACACAGAATCATCAGGCGAGAAAGGAATTGCAACCATAAGTACAGTGAGAAAAAAAGAAAGCATATTTAATTGTTGGTCAAGGCAGTAACATCAACAAGGATGCTGAAAGGGAAGACTAACAAAACAAATTTCTCAACAAATGCAATGAAGATAAAGGATGCCATCAAGTAGATAAGTGGAAATCCAGAAAGAGTAAGAAAAAAGAAAAAAGAAAAAAAAAAAAAAAGAAAATGTAAGAGTACTGAGATTGCCTTGTGGCTCGCTTAGATAAAATAAGCGTGCTTGTTCTGCACACTTTTCATCACTGGGGGTACAGAGGGCAAAAAAAGAAAAGAGACAAAAAGCAATTGTAAAAGGTTGGATCTCCTACAGCTTTGTGATAAAAAAAAAAATACCAGGACAAATCAAAGCTGAACACTGTGGCACATCCCGAAAGACATGTGATACCTCACAGAGATAAACCAAAGAAAAATCACACCTTCTCTCCACCCTCATGGCCTACCTGTGGCAAAACACAATCAGGTTGCGAGGGCCAGAAGACCTACAGAGCAGTTTCTGCCTTATTAGTGAATTTAACATGCTCACATAGGAGTCCAGTGAGGCCCCAGAGCCATTTAAACAGAGGGATGATCAGCCAGTAAATAAAGGGAAATTAGGAAGTGAACGTACTCCCATGGCCCACTCCTGGCAACAGGACCAGGTCTTAAAAGCTGTTAAGACAAGAAAGTGAGTGCAAATGTCATGTGTGAACAGAATGTAAGAAGCAGTCTGAGAGGTGGTTTGCCTTTTCATCCTGAAAAAAGTACCAAAAAAGCATCAATGTTTGTTAAAAGTGAGAAGAGATCTTGGAGTAGAAACAAAATCGTCAAAACCCTGCCAGGAGTCACTCTGTGTGCAAGATGAGCTCTGCCTCGGGCAGGCAGAGCAGCTGCCCAGCGGGATGGTGAGTACTCTGCTCCCCAGCTAGGGAGCGACTGCCCAGTACAACAAGCAGGAACTTCCACCTCAGGTGTATGGACATGACCTCGCTGGGGGCTCCCTCACCACCACTGTGACCACACAGGTACAACTAAAACTGGAGGATGCACATGTCCAGCAGGAGGGGGGGGGTTAGCAGAGAAACCTGTACTCCTCAAAGATGGTATGTGAGACTGTAATCCACATGTTTGGGGCAGTAGGGTGAATATTGGTGTGGGCGCAATTAGAACTTTTGGGGATTAGTAACAGAAGGCAATTTAAAAATGTGTAGGTTCTTACTAGTATTTCTGAAGTGTCTCACATTGTGGTTTATCTGCTGTATTACTGCTACTGATCTCGAACGTATGGATCACTGATAAACAGTTCATTTTGTGTTGCTGATGAATCAAAGAACAGCTTCACTTTGATTTCATTTAAGCTATGTGAAATGAGCAGCTTCTCTCAGCAAGTGAGCAAAATCTCCTTCTGGCAGGTGTGAGCTGGTAATCCAACTCCTCCTCTTTCATGAAACTATATTATAAACTTTGATTTCTAGAAGTAGCAAGGCAGAACTCCTGTTCTGACCTTTAGTAAAGCTGCTGTTAAAGCAGGCTTTGTCACAGCCCCTCACCCCTTCCAACTACCCATAGCTAATGCAGAAAATTCAATTCTGCTGCATCCTGAATAGAATTTTTCTGAGGTTTCTCATGCCCATACCACCCCCAGCATTCCTCCTATCCTTCCTGGAAGAGGCACCCATTGCTAGTTAGTAAATAGTATGTCTCTATATTTTCCTATTTATTTCACTAACAGATAGAAACCTGGTACTTACGAATATAAAGTCAGTTTATTCAAGTCATTGTGCATATTGAAGGCATATACTTCTCCCAAATGAAAAAGCTTTTCCAATGCCTCATAAATAAATATGATGCATATAAGGGCTGCAAAAGCTTCCTCAGTAAATCGAGTGATGTAGCACACAAGGCTGCTGGCATCAGTGGCTACAAGCACAATGCATAGAAATGCAGTCCACAGACCAATGCTAGTTCGCAGGGAGAGGTAGGAAAGATCGTAATCCCTGTGTGAACAAAGAAACAAAAAGTATTAACTGAGCCAAAAATCATAAATACTATATTCTATTGGAAAACAGATACTGAGGCCAAGCTCAGGAGGTATTTATCACTTTTCTCATCCTTGATGTTAGCTCTGAAGGAAGCAGAAACTTCTTTTGTCTCATCTTCCATCAAAGCAAAGCAACATGTAAAGGTGTTTCTAGGATTGACAGTGCAACTACCTAGCTTGGGAAGGATCACAGGGATGACCTCTCCAGAACTACCCCAGATGGTTTCTCCTAGACTGATCTGCCAATCAATCCTTGCTTACCCCTGCAGAGCCAAAACCAACACGTCCATACAGCCAGAATGCAACTTAAAGTCCTAGATTATCTCTGACTTTCTCATTTAGCTTCATCAGTGCCTCACAGCTTTCCCAAACTATATAAATTTCTCAGTCTCTTGCCACTGCGTTATCATCGTGGACATACACACATTTAATGCACATGTGTTTTCAATTACAGCTATTCTAACAGGCTAGAAAGTTAAAAAGTGCATCAGGCTAATACAAACATTACTTACCTGCAAAATTTAAATAATATTTTTTCAAATACTAGAACTGGTCCGGTGCTTCCCAAGATAGTAAGAGGTTGCCCGGCAAAGAGAGAATAGGCAATCCCAGTTAATGAGGCTCCAAAGAGAGACTCTATTGCACTCTGTTTGGGGGAAAAGAAACTGCTGTAACTATGCTGCCTTCCAGGTTAACATTTAGCATCACATCTGCATAAATACAGCCTTAAGATGCATTAACTTAGAAACAAGACAAGATGTAAAAAAAAAAAAACATTGCAATTAATATTGATGTTTGAGACAAGAATAACTTAACACAGTTTTGCAGTAACAATACCACGGACAAAAGATTTTGAAAGCTTCACTCCTGAGAAACATAAAGCCATCCAACTAGAACAAGTTACTAGTCCTGCTAGGTATGGAGGAAAAGTATACCAACAATTATATATATTTAAAATATTACCAAAAAAAAAAAAAAGAAAATAGTTACTGAATATGTATTTTATGGGAAGAATTATCTGTTTCTGTAAAGAAAATTGATATATATATTGCAACATACCTGTGCCAAAACATGATACGGCCTGCCGTATCAAACCTGCATCAGTCAACCAAGCATTACAAAGGAAAAAACAAACTGACAGGCGGAGGTGCAGGGGAAATTACTGAACAATACTGGTTTATGTATACATGACACCAAAAATAGATGAGCAGTAAACCAATGTCCCACCTGGTAATGCATTTCTTTCACTTAATTAAGGTAACTACTTCAGTTCTTGAATTAAATGTTTTACTATAACATTATCTACTAAAAAAAAAAAACCAGTTAAGAACGCACCTCAAAAGAGAGGGGCAGGAGTTTTAAATACTAAAATTATACTAAATTTCATTTTGAAAATACTTAACTAAACCACCTACCACTATAAGGAGTCATGGATTACAGATTCCTGTAACGGAATTACAGGATTCCTGATGAAATTTTTAAGCGTTTGCTATTATGCAATTATGCAAGCCTAGGAAAGCAGTATCTATGCAATCTTGAGCTCCAATTCAGGAAAGCATCTGAAAATGGTCAAAATGGTTTGCTGAACTGGGGTTATTAAAAAAAGAAAATGAGTCCTTTGTTCATTATACTAGAGAAAAAGATATAATCCCAGTCTCTTGTTCTATTACCTTTGAATTAGTGCTTTTGATTAGTCAATGCATTAACCTTGGGGCTCTCAGTCAGGGTGGCAGGGAGAGGAGTACTGTGGACGTGATGACCTCTGAGAATGCGAGGGAAGGTTTCAAAGACAAACTGTGTACCTTACAGTATCAGCTACTGTGCTTGAACATGTGTGTGCAGTAACTAAATGTTTTATTCAATGATGCACACCAAGTATCTGAAGGCAGGAACAAACCCGCAAACAATTCCAGATAGCTAAAAGAAAGAAGGTGTTTAAGAATCAAGCTTTAAAAGGTGTATATTTTCATAATTATACATGTTGTAAATTCAAAATTTACACTGACATTCTGATAATAATTCCTACATTTAGAGAGGTGATACCAGCACGCAGAAAAGATACAATTTTATTTCTGTATTTTCTATCAGCTTGAAGTGCTACATCAATTAACAAAACTCTGAGTCAACGGACATACTTGAAAGAGATAGAAGAGTTAACGAAATTTCAATACAATACAAGCTTTAAAACTTCATCCAAGTATCAAGAAGAATTTTACATCAGTAAAAGCTTTACCAGAATCTTAAAATTTATAAAGGATGTCTGAATACATGCTTCCCTCCCCTGAAAGGACAAAGCCTTGTTTCTATGTGATAGATTTAAAAACAGAAAATACACTTCAAACTAGTTTACTCATAAGCCAATTGACACTAAGTTATTAACATTGCTGATATTAAGTAATTTTTCCCTGCTCCAAAAACTCAAGAAGTACAATGATATTCTGGTGGAAAAGGTGCTGGTATTACGCTATATAACACTATCAAAATTTTGTGAGGACATGATTTATATTCAAGTCATTTACAATGAAGAGTATTTTCTGCTCATAAACCTTGGACACTTGATTTTATTGTGACCAACATACCTTTAGTGCAAGCACATACATATCCTGTCCGTTACAGAAACACACAACAGACTGCTCGCCACACACCGCAGGATTATCATCCTCGTAGGCCTACTACTCAAGGCCAGTACATGTTCTTGGCTATCCACCTTGAGCCTCTGACTTTGCCTAAAGTAGGCCTAGTGGGATGGTGCACCTTTACTGCTGTTCATTACTTTTAAGTAGCCAAAAAGAAGGCAATGCAAGCCTTTTCTCAATTCATGAAGCCATTCATCCAATAAGGCAGGATAAACATTGTTTACCTCCACTGTGCATCTTCTCCTGTTCACATGGGTTCCCCACATTTTCCACAGCAATTACCTTTTGGGGAAGATCTGCTTTGGGGCAGGCTAATCAAGTGCTGTGGGTAAATTCTTCAAATACAAGTATAAATAAATGAGACAAATGCACACAGTGACTTGCCTCTGAAGGTCTAAAAGCCTGGCCACTACCATTCTTTGTACTCACTATTCTGCCTTGTGTAGCTTCTCCCAGGAGCCCTCCAAAAGTGATTACAGGAGACATACAGGCACAGTATAGGAAAAGAATCGAGGCCAGGCACTGCAGGCTTAATGCATCCTTGAAGTCACTCAAGAAAAAAGGTGCTTTCCTTTGGATGTCAAGTATCAAACCACCAAAAAGCCTAAATAGGTGAGATGAAACTCGTCAAACTGTACACTAAAGGATTCTAGCTAGTTCAAAACTATGGGCTACACATCACTGCCAGTGCCTATTGCCGGCACAAATTAGCTATTTCATAACCCAGATTAAATCATAACAGTTAAAAACATAAATGATAATATTATCTATTCCAATTAAGCAGTATTTCAAATATAATCAAGTAGGTTAGCCACATTTCTTAAAGCTGGCTAGGTACTGTTGTATATGGGCTAGATACTGAAAAAATAACTCTGTAAACCATTTTACCTAAATGCTGTTTAAAGGCAAATCTGTTTTATGATATTCAAAACAAGGAACAGAAGAAATATGCTTAACATCAACCAAGACCACTTCATTGATACATTTCAATACTGCTACTCCAGGTAGTAATTTTTGAAATACTACTTGTTGGAGTAGTGATTTGAATTCCCTACATACATATGATTAGGTCCATAAATAAATGTAGGTCAGTGTTTGCATCTGGAGTACACAGATATTCTATAAATGTAAATACAAACCCAAACATACATAAGTTAGTTCACCCAGATAAGATATTAAAAAGATTTGGCAATTTAAAAAAAACTTTAAAACTCAAAAATACTAGGTATTAATCTGCATTTACAAAAATTTATTTTAATTATTAACAAAAAACCCCAAACATTCCTAAGAAAAAGAACAGCTTCATCTGTGGGCAGAAATGAACTTCTCAGCTCCACAGTGTCTACAAAGAGGCAAAAAGTAATTATAACAAACCACAAGGGTAAAAATCAACACAAATGTTGTAATTTCTCTCAAATGTATGAGAAAGATGGATTTCATCTGGAAGTTTATTTTTCTGGGGAAAACAACACTGTACATATATTCCAGAATTTCTCAGTTGATTTACTCTCATTTGAGATATTAAAGTTTAATCTTAACTAGGTATTTCCAAAGTTGAAGACTTTTTGGAAAGTATTTCGGAATTAACAGAGAACAACAACTGAAAGAAATTCCTTAAATTTTATTTTAGGTCTAAAAGAAACCTGACCAAAACCCAAAGCTAACCAAGACCAAAGTACTTTTTCCCCACTTTATATTTCTTGTTGTTCCATTTCATACATGTTCAATAAAACAGATTTGCATTAATGGAAATTTTTAGTACCTAGCCCAATACTTAAAATTGCATATTCCTGCAGTAATTAAGATAATTGCATGCTCTTGAAGATTAAAAATTAAAACTCAACTCTTAAAAGTCAGTTAGTTAAATTAGGCAGCATCTTATGTGAAATCCTTCGCAAATGTGTTGAGAAACATTGCCATAGGCTTGAAAATACTTCAGTAGATTGGCATTTATAGGCAAGAATCCAACACTTGAAAAGGACAAAGGATGCACTCTGACACTTATAGCATGATTTTTTTATGTTCAAATGTCAATCATTAAGATGAAAATTTATCACTTTTATTTCTTTATGGTAGCTAGCATTTAGGGAAGTGAACACACCTTCCAGTTCTCTGAAGCTCAGGTCCAGCATGATGGCCTTCTTCTTTGAGAGTCTCTCCTATAGGAGTAGATCCATTTGGAAATTTAGGTGCCTTCCTTTTCTCCTACAAAAAAGGCAGGGGAAAAAAAAGAGATTCTTTGAGACTAAAAAGTATAGTTAAAGGACAGCATGCAGAGGCACTATGCCTTCCAAACATTTTTTGATATTCCCAGATTATCAGCAGTCCTCCACTTGCCAACTTCATCTTTTGTTGAGTACAGAAAACTAGAACTGTAGAACACTCTCCAAAAGATCTTACTAGTACCTTGCACAACAGTATTAATCTTCCCTCTTTCTGGAGAAATAGGTTCCTAAAACATGATAAAACAAAGCCTAGTTTTTCATGACACAGTAGAGGCTCAACCATGAGGCCCAGAAATATTGAGATACTTTTTCTCAACTATTTCCAGAGCAGAAACCTCTAGCAGAAACTGACCTCACTTTATGACACACACAGTTTTTAACTGAAGCATAAATGAGAAGTCACTCCCCTGCTGAGCAGGCTGCTCACCAGCTTCCTTCCAAAAACCCTGAGCCCCGCTTATTCTGGAATAAAGTTACATGGTAGCCTCATAGGCAATTCATGAATAAACTGCACTGCTGCACCATCACCCCCTTCTATTCCAGCTGCTCCACCAAACCACCAGTAGACTCAACCTTCTGCACCAAGAGCGCTGGTCTCTCCCTTGCTTTTGATCCTGTCAGCCCAAATTCCCCTACCCTGTAAAGAGGGAGAAGAAGATAGAGTCTCTCTAAGGACTCTCTTTTCCTGGCTCTCATTCTAAGCCTGTACCATCACGACTGTGTGCTATGATCAATTTTTATCTATTTCATAAACATTCTGTGAACCCTTTATGATAGACAAAATACATTAAGGCATTTCAATCAAAGCTGCATGCAAACAGAAGTTTTTATAAGAATAAAAAAATTCTTGCCGATCACTGCTAGACAGGTAGCAAAATTTATAATATGAACTCAGGTAAAATTTCTGACCAATTCTCCTAGTTCTCACATGAACTCACTCCAGTACTTCAGAAAGAAATGTAGTAAATAAAATTTAATTAACAGCATAGCAGAAAACTGATTAATGTCTTTTTTCCCCTTTTCTTCATTTCTCTCTTCTTTTTTTTTTTTTTTTAAACTGAAATTAACAACCTACTTTTTCTTGCAAAATGGATGTAGGGACTTTCCTGATGGTTTTCAGCCAACTGGGTATCAGCCAGCAGTGTGCCCAGGTGGCCAGAATGGCCAATGACATCTTTGCCTGTATCAAGAATAGTGTGGCCAGCAGGACTAATGCAGTGCTTGTCCCTCCGTACTTGGCAGCTAAAATCCTGTGTTCAGTTTTGGCCCCCTCACTACAAGAAAGACTGGGCCTTTTTTTTTTTTTTCTTTTACCTGGGAAGGAACACTTTTTGGCGGCTCAATTCGTATAGATGGATCCCACTCTCCTGGAGGCAGGACTGTCACTTGGTCTAAAAATTCATCAATTCCCGACAACAAATCATTTCGGTCTTTTGCTTTATAGGCAACATCATGGAAAACCTACAAGAAGAAAGCACTCAACATTCATTTTTATTTTATTTTTCTGAAAGAGTAACTGGTTATCATTATATAATGATTACACGTCATTATTTTTAAAAAGGCCTGGAAAATATAGGCCTTGAAAAGTTAGGCTTTTGCTTTACTTGCATACTTTTGCTTTAAAAGCTACCTGTATGCACATTCCCATGGACCATAAAACAAAGCAGTTTTATCTTCAAACTCAGAAGGAATACTGAGTTATTTTTTTAAATTAAATAAAAAGTTAATCTTCAATATTTAGGACATCAAATTCACATACTATTGCCTGAATAATTCTGCCCTACAGCCACTGTACCACTGTGCTGTGGTAAATCAGGACAGAAAATACTTCAAATAAGTGTCAAACCAAAACAAAAGTTTTTATTAAGAATAAATTTTTATTAAGAATAAGAACTTCATTTGTACACATCTAGCTTAATTAAGTTTAATAAACTACTTTAAAAGCACATGAAAACAATCCTCCAACTACTAAAAAAAAACCAAAACAAAATAAAACCACTGCACTGTTTTACAGATGACAACAGAAAACTCTGAATTGACACAGAGGCAGTATAAAATAAAAAAAACAGTCTCTGCATCCCAAGATGTATTTTATACACAGAGAGAAGATGCTAATTTTGCTATTAAAAAACTGTCTGCAGAAGATGATCCTAAATTGCTTCTGTACACTTGAAACCAGAACTGTTTGTCTCTAACTACCTGAACATTGAATCATCTGATCTCAAATTAGATCTTGTAAGTCTATTTAGGTCTTTTTAGACAACCAAATAATTAATATTTTTTCTATTCAGTGATCTACAGCATTCCCAAAAATCAGATCAGCCTACCTAAAAAATCAGAACCTGCAACTAAAGCTTTCAATATTCATTTCTCACACTGAACAAATACTGTTTTCACAGGCTGGTTACTCAGCTGCAAAGTGACAAGTTTTTGTTTTACATTACCAAACTTCAAATTGATCTAGAGTAAAAAGTACTTGAATTTCTGCTAGATAACCCTAAAAATTATCAGCAATTCAGTAGGTGGCGCTCAATGTGAAGCCAAAATTAAAGCATCCTAATTCTGCTCAGTAAGATTGCAACAATCTTAAAAAGTTCCAATTCCCCTGTGGCCTTTAAAACCAATAGGGCTCTAAATATATGACTTCAAATGGCTAGGAAAGTTCTAATTTTAATTATTTGACCTTGCTTAGATAAAAAAATATCTGTCATGACTCCACTGCATGCATTAAAAACTTTTTGTCCTGAACACTTACACAGTTTGTTGCATCCTTTTTGACATGCAGTGATTCATATCAAAACCAGTTCTATTTAGTCTTTCTGTTAACCAATTTAATACAAAAATGCAATCTATACACCAAAGCCAAAATAACTTTTTCAGAAATACATTTAGGATTTCTTCAAGACAGACAAGGGGGAAAATTAATCTATCATTATCTACTTCACCAACACAAGAAATAATTAACCGTTATTCATTTAACCAGTTTGTGGGGATTTTTTATTTAACTTGTCACTCCAAAATCATTTTTTGAAATCAGGTGGGAAATATACTACTCTAGGCTTTAACTACAAGCATTTAAAGTACATCACTCACATCATCTGTCATAAGTGTTGCTATTGATCTTCCAATTTCATGGTACTGTGGAGCTTTTCCTACTGGTCCCAGCAATAAAAACAAAAACCTGTGGAGAAAGTAATAGGGATGAATATGGCTGACTCATCGCGCATTACTTTGAGGGGGTCTTTCAAACTAATGTTTAAGGAAAATTTAGAGGTGAAAGAAAAATACCATTTTCACCATTTCAGATCTTAAAAGACTGCTGCAACACTGAAAAAACTCGCCTCAAAGTCATTATAGGAAGGAATTCAAATCTGAACCAAAATTATTCCAAAAATCTTCTTAAGTAAGCCTAACGCATATGTTAACAGGCAGTCTCCATTTCCAACCCCAGTAAGTTACTGCAATTTTTTTTTATTAAAAACCAAAAGAAACAAAAAACTCCACCAAAACCTTGAAGACAAATAGCATCTTATGAATTCAAAAGGATACAAACCAAAGAGTAAACCTCAGTCATTTGTTTCAAGCCCTTCTTCTTATAATCCATGAAAATGAAGTTCCTAAACACAATGCACTTGAAAGAAAGTAGCATCTTCTTTTATCCTACAGTAAAAAAAGCTCAATTCTATGTCTCCTTTGCAAATCTACTCCCTTAACTGAAACTGAGACTGCATCTTCAAGATCCAAGTATGCTATTCCAAATATGAAAGTCTACACCATTCTAAAAACTTTGGACAGAATAATTTTAGCTACATTAATACAATAATTTGTATGCAGAAATTTTGGAATTTCCCAATAAGCAGGAGCACTAATGTCAACTATCCTCTAAAAATTCTTACGTATATTTTTGCCTTTCAAAGGAGTAAGCTGAAAATTATGAAGATAAACACTAAAAAAAACCCACCAAAAAACATGAATGTACAAATGCATGCCAAACACCACATAAACAGCCCAATACATTGATGTGCACAGTGTCCTCCATGATGGATGATGAAACGATCTGCTACCTTCATCGTGGGACCAGCATTTTGATATTCTGAACATCTGTAGTAAACATACCCACAGCATACTGGCGAGACCCATGACTCTGGGGGAGTAGAGGGGTGGGTGCACCAGGTTGGATGGCACATTGCAGACTGAAAACCACCCCAATGTATTTAGCTGCAGGTTGGTTACTCCAGTGTCAATCATGCAGATTTGAATCATAGAATAGAATCATAGGATCAGATGGGTTAGAAAGGACCTCTGAGATCATCAAGTCCAACCCCTGATCAAGCACATAATAAAAAAAGGTCTTTCTACCACCTATGTTATTCATATACAGAGTATTTGTGTAGAAAAAGCAGAGATTCAGGTTAGACAGTCTTTCAGACTTAGTGGGCTCTTCCCCAGTGACAAGTTGTGTCATGCTGAAGGGAATTATAACAATCTTCATGCCCATCTTTAAAATGGCAACACAAGCTTAGAAGACTCATTGCTTTTACTCCAAGTCATGTATCAGTTTCAACTCCTGCACTTGCTTAAAACAGCATCACAACATATATTTTAAGCATTTAGAGAACTTTATGGCAGATCTCATTCATTCAAATTTTGCAGCAAATGACTGGCATAATGTTAAACAAAACTCTTACACTTCTTGAGCTTAATACAGTATATATATAAACTTGCAACTACCTGAGATCTTAAATATTACTATCTTATTGCATAAGTAAAGCCAGACTTCACAGGCATTCATTTACCGTGTAGGAACTGGAACCTCTGTGAGACCCGAGAGAAGCACAGCAGGGGAGAGCCTCACAAAAGCAATAATGGGTCTTTCTAAAAAATCTACTTCTCCCACTAACACATTTGATGCTTCTGCTCCTGAAGGAATTTTCCTCATGAAGTTCATATCAACCTATTCATACAAAGATGAAACAAGTGTTTATTCCCTTACATTTTTTAGCAGAAATTTTGTAACATAATTATATCAGTATTTACTAGACATTTACGCTACAAAGAAAAATTAAAAAGCAAATTAAGTATCCCACAGTACAGAAAAGACAAACACATTTAGAAAATGTCAGCCAGCCAGCCAAATAATAATAAACTATTTTCTCTAAGTTAGAATTACTAACACCTAGAAGACTCCAAACTGCATAATTACCTTTCTAATATTATAATGACAAACATTCCATGATAGGACATAAATTACAAAATCTATGCACAATTAACTAAAGAGAGTTCATGTAATTACACATGGTTTCTAGAATGCAGTGAGTTATTTCGCAGCTGTGTATTTCAGATGTGTCACAATTTTGAAAAATTATTGCGTTTCTTTTCATCCATAAAGAATATGACAGCTGAAAATCTTCACATCCATTTCTGTACATAATTACAGAAGTGCATTAGAAAGCGGTGCAGGACATGAACTCTGTGTTCACACACACACACACAAGCACCAGTTATATTGTTAGCTAGGGAACTTACAGATGGCCTCTTGAGTCCCACACCAAGTGTGCCACAACTACAGTGCCAGGAGGCAGACTCCTGTCCAACAGGAGACAAGGCAGGTGTACACAAGGACAGGCCAAGCAAAAATATAAAAACTGTGACAGAGGAGCAGGAATATATGGTACCTACCATGATTAGATCAGAACTACACTTTAAGTTAGCTTTCCTTATACATAATTATTTAACTTGGCAAATCAATTCTCTTACAGTGTTTTGCAGCACAGGTGACACTACAGACTAAGTTTTATAATAAAAGCCACAATGGAACTTGCCCAGCAAGTTTAAATTATGAAAGAAAACCAAGGGATTTACAGTACATTTTTTACAAGGTTTCCTTCAGAAAGTGATAGTATATGTTCCTAATGATTAAGATATACAGCAACTTTTGTACAGGAAACTCGTAATACATATACAGCAAATCCTCTTTAAAAGAAGTCTTCACAAAAAAAAAAAAAAAAAAAAAAAAAAAAAAAAAAAAAAAAAAAAAAAAAAAAAAAAAAAAAAAAAAAAAAAAAAAAAAAGTCCAAGGAAAAAAAAGTTACAACACAATCTACAAAATTCTTTTCACATGAGCCTCAACAGCAGATCTGAAAATACCTCCATCTGCATGAGAAAGTACAGCAGCTGCACTCTTACATTACCAAAATATTGAGAAAATCAAACAGTACGTTCCATCCCACTGGGAAGAATTCCAAAACATGTGACATATTTAGCCTAGACCATATTCTGACACTCGTATGTACAAGTTATCTCTAAGTACCTACGTACTGGTACAGGTCTTAGCTGTAACTAAGGGGGAAGTTACAACCAGCACATTATTTGTTACACAGTTAATTTGTGCTAAACACTAAGGTATTTAATATAACTTACCTTACTAAAATCAACAGTGCTGTTTTCTCTGCTTCCTCCTGTCCCAGTACCTTTAACATCTCCACTTTTCCCAGTGTCTAAGTTTCCAGGTGCTGACTGTGGAGATGCTAATAGCCCTAAATTAAAACAAAGGAGATAAGTTCAAAATGGTGCATGAAGTGAACTGAGTGTGCAACACTATCAAAACTCAATGTGGCAGCTTGCTCAAAGCAAATGTGCACGTTATTCAGTACAAGTGCCCTACATTAGTATCATAAATGCAACATTAACAAGTCACTGTGTTGCCAAAACAATGACATAATTTAAAAAAATTAAGTACTGCCCAAATGATGGCCATTTGCAGAACAGTCACCAGAAAACGTGAGCTATTTCAAGTGCAGAAAAAATAACTACTGATTGATTAAACCATTGTTGATTTTAATCATAACTGATATAGTAGTTAGCATATAGCACCTTCACCATACTAAGAAGTCCTTGGACACCAGATGCAAACACCTCTGCTATCTAGTCTGTTGTGTAGCAGCTACTGCAATTGTAAAAACCATCAGCAGGCCTCGGGCTACAAATACAAGGAATGATATCCTAACTAAGCTGTACAAGTAAATTGTGTATTACATGACAATTTGCAAACCAACGTTTCCATCAAGAGACCAAAGCTCCTACTATTCATCTGACCAGATGTTACTATATGGAATATACACTTTAGCTCAAGAGGCACGCACAATGAAGTTATTCAAGTTCAACATACAGCTTCCCTCTGACACCTGCACCAAAACAAAACCATCTTATGTAGCTTGCTACACACCAGCAGCACTGAATTGCAGGTTCAATAAAGGGTGCAAAAGTCAATGTAACCCAAGTGTTCATACACACTGAATTCCATGTTGAGTCATGGTTATCCCTATACCCAGTTAACATTTAAAAGCTGGTCTAGGCATGCATAACCAAGCCCAAATCCGACCTTTTGGATTACAGAGCTTTTATTTTTTCAGTTTAACATGCACTAGAAGTGCAGTTGGCCTTCTTGCTTGTCTACACCTTTCAGCTGCGGTGACAGAACATGTTTTCACATGCTTTCAAAACCACATCTACACAAAGACTGAAGTCTAAACACTGTATTGCAAGGAGAAAGTTTGTCTTTAAATCAAGTGTCACACTAGCCAAGATGAAAAATTAAGTCCTCACTGGCTACCTTTGGGCTATTGTTCTATCATAACTACTGCCACATAACCATTCGCATACCTCCATGTTTATAATTTAGCAATTTTGATATTTTTTAGCATTCAAATGACAACTGAATTCACTTTATTTCACCCCCATATTTGTTTCCAAGAAACTCTCTCAAAGAGCCATTTTATCAATAGAAAACATGCAGGTCCAAGCCTTCACCATTAATTTTCGTTCTTACAGTTCATAGGGATATAAGTGGTATGAGTAGTTTTTCCTGAAGCAAAAATCGAATGAAGTTAATAGGCTGTAATTTCCTTCATAAATCCTAACGTGCACAAGTAATGAGCTAACACTATAAATACTATGTTCAGTTAGCTAGACAACAAAAAATTCCCCCCAAAAATTCTACTTTTCTGCTCCAAGATTTAAGCATTATTCACAAGAATCACAGCATCAACCACGCTGACCAAAGTATTTAACTGCTTGTAGAACTAGAAATAAATATTAAACAGTTGTTACAGAAGAGCAGCACAATATAGAAGTTTATACATATAAACTTTTTTTACTTTTTCCCCCTCTTCCAGTAGTAATACAGGAAACTCAAAATGTTTGTAACTGATGAAAGATGAGCTATAATTCATCGGTCAGCACTTTTCAGAAATGCACTGAGAGCTAGAGCAAGCAGAGTCTAGAGCAAAAAGGGGACAGAATCAAGGACAGAGAATAAGGATTCTACACATTAGCATAAACACTTATTATTTCAGTACTAAAGTGATACTGATTTTGCTGAAAAGTTTTTGCCTTCATAATTTCTCCAACCAGTCAGTCATAGTTGAAGCTGATAAGTTTCAGCACTGACACAGGAATATTTGTCTGATCTTAAACCATGTGTGTAAATAGTTTTCCTTTCTGTTGGCCTTGCAGTTGGACAGACTGCTTCTCTCACAAGACAAAACTGCTCATAGGTTTTCAGACCTGGGCAAGCATTTCCATATGATACTGCATTTCATTATGCGTATCAATCAATCTGATGTTTGCAGGGAAATTCTGAATAAAAGTCTTCTTCTCTAACAGTGAAACACTTCAAATCTCTCACTAAAAAAAGAACTTATTTCCCTCTCTTCTCCAGTTCAGTAGATGCAAACAGGACAACTACCCAGTACTACTTTTCAGACTATGAGACAGAAATTTATCATTACCAAGGGGAACATTAAAAACACACAGTTCTCTTCTAGATATTGTTTATTAGGCAGATGTACCACCTGTCTCCTCCAATAGACAACAGTGGATTGAGTGTTGAGTAATTTGGATTATAACCTCTTAAGATCACTGAAGTCAAAGCGTTTAACTATACCTTCACTAAAGATCATGTGCATTTTCTAGCAATTGTCTCACATCTCTGCTTCATATAAGATGAGGAAGATATGACTTCAACACCTAAGCATGACCGTTCCAATATAAAAAACTTTTAAATATGAAGTCACATCACATTTATATTTGAGGAAATAAGAAGAATTTTTAAAACTAAATTCCAACGCAGCCTTAATGTGAAAAAAATGTTCAACTTACTATTAGAAAGCAAGTATGCAAACCCTTCTGAATTACTATTTTCAGTAAGTAATTACTCTAAGAGCAAAGTTGTTCTAAATGTTATTTTGCTCAGTTCTAAAGTACACTTAATCAGTGAACCAAAAGACCTATTTGCTGCTTTGCTATTGTTCACAGACATTAAGAAAGCTCAGCGGAAGTTGGTGAATTAAGTGTTCCTTTTTATCAGTGACACAGTTCTCTTCCTAGTCTTACCAGTGGAATTTATTTTTCAATAGTTCTTCAACAGATAGCAAAAAATAAAGTTTGAAGAACACAAGGCCAAGGACAGATGAACGCTAAACAGAAGAAAGCCACCTATTTGAAAATTAACACAGTTCCTAACACTCACAGGAGGCAAACCCAGTGTAATCACACAGATGTGGAAAATGTATTTGAATTGCAGTATTATCAGTTACTACAGAGGTAATACAGACCATACTCTATAGTAGAATGGAGCAGGAAGATTTTTTTTTTTCATTAACACCAGGAAGATTACTTCCTCATCAGGGTTTCTTTCTGATTCTGCTTCCCAAGAAAAAGATTAGTCCAGTTGCAGCTCTGAAGTCATAGTCTGAGAATGTCTTCAAAGGCATCTCTAAGGAAAAAGTGTCTTTCTGTGGTCAGATGATTACTTGAATTAAAAAAAGGGGGAAAACCCCAGAAACCAAAAATGTCTTCCATCATCACTGATGTTTAACATTCTCTGAAAAGACTTCTACTTATGATTAACTGGAAAACCATCCCTTTCAGATTTTTCCTTTATGAAAAACATCTTCCTTGAGGAATAAAAGCAATTTGAATGTGATTTGGAAATTCTGGTGGAAAGCTTTATTAGAGATGATAATAATAGCATCAAGTACTTGATCTTCATTCATTTGTCTTCTCTTGTGTTCTAAAGACCTTGGGTCTGGCACGCTGTCATTCCTGTCAGATAAATGAGAACTGGAAAACCAATTACAGCTGTTACTCTACTTCTGGTTTCTAATTACCTTTGGAAGGTGACCCATGAGAGAATAATCTTCACGTGAACGCTCTTAATTTCCCGTAAGGAAGTCAGAGAAAGAGGTTTTTGTTTGCTTTTCTGAATTTAAGTAATGTTGAGGCCCCTATACTTCATCTGATGATCACAGCTTATGACACAGTTTGCTCTTTCCTTTTCAGTGACTTGGCTGCCAAATGTGAAAGGCAGATAACCCCAGCCTTTTCTTCATCAGCATTTTTTCGCTGCTATGTGTAACAGTGTGCTTTTATTTATTAAACAAGAGAGGAGGAGGCCAAGAAAAGCCTAATTGATGGATGACCTGTGTGAAATCAGCCCCTCTCACCCCCCCAGCACACACAGGTCTAAAGCAAACAAACCTATACGCTAAGTTTTGGCAAGACAAATTTCTGAGAAGGGGAGGAAAAAAAAGGCAGGAGGAGGCTGAAGGTTGAAAAGAAAGATGATCCCTCTCTTAAAAACATGACCTCCCTAGAAGAATCATGAAGTCTCTACCTAGGAAATAATTCTGCAAAAGTAAAGCAAGTCTAAGTACATTTGCAGAATGCATGAGTGATGAAACTTTTACTAAAAATAATTCAAGAAAGGATGGCATGTTCTGACAGTTTCTTTCAACTAATCTATACATCTCTACACCTTTTTAAAGAACAAAGCCTTGCAAGACAAAAAAATAATAAAAAAAAAAATTGCTGAGTTCCAACCTACAATTACAAACTCTTAACTACCTTCTCCAATTTTGCATATCAAACACAACAGAACACTAATTGAGTGTCTGATGCTGAAGCAATCCACTAATGGAGAGCTATCTGGAAACAGCTGTAGGTGAACTGTCCCTGAAAATGTCATCATAACTGGTTTTAACAGCCATGGTTTTTAAAACCACAAAAGCAAAATAAAACTGCTTGAAGACTTCATTATACAACTAACTATGAACACCACTGATACTGGCATCCTTCCTAATTCTTTTCATATCATCTCTAATACTTCACCATGTCTTCAGCTGTACCTTTCTCAGGATAATAAACACTGCTTTAAAATATTAACTCCATTACTGATAAAACCGAAGCAAAATCGGATATGGACTGTAGGTGAGTGAAAGGAAAAGGCCACCATTTTTGACATTTTGCATATTAGATTTTAAAGCCATATTACTTTTTAATTATACAAATGAATGTTAATTAAAGAATTTTTTGCTTGCTTTAGTTAAAAGCTAAAAAGTTAAAAATGTCAAACAAGAAAACAGTCACAACTGAGAAGAGATAAACATGCAGGTAGAGGTAATAGTTATCATATTCCTTTGTGCCCAAGTTATGTGCCAAAAACATCGCAATGCAAGTGATCCAGATGCAGAGAGCACCACACATGGACAGCTTAAGTTTCAGTAGTTGCCTGGTGTTTTGCCAATATTTTCCTCTGTCTTCTTTTCCTGGCTTTCCTGCAATTCTAAGTCCTCCTCGGGTGGATGGATTACTACAGAGGGAATATCATCGCTGGCAGGTGACACCAGCAACTCCTTGCCCTGAAGTGGACTTGGTTGGGCACTTGTGGTTGGCAGGAGACTGCACGTAGGACTGGAGGGTGGTGTGTTTTGAGGGGTAGTTACAGGGGTTGTACACCTTGAGGCTGCCGGGGTTCCAGCTCTTGAAGAAGGAAGAAGGTAATTGAGAAGAACTGACAAACGGCTTTCTCCTCTCAGGGAAATATTTGAGGCAGAGAGACCTGTTCGCAAAGAGTGGCGGGAGGCTGAAAGGCCTTCCCCTGAGATAAAACAAATGGAACACCATGAGGCTTACAAAACGGATATATTAAACTTATTAAAAAAAAAATATAAAACAAAAAACCAAACCCACACAGATACAGGTATGCATTAACAATGTACAAAGCAAATTGCAAGCTTTACAGGCCAAAGTGTCATACTCATGCAAGTAAGACAAAAGATCAGAGCAAATCTGATTTCAGACATTTGAGAAGTCAGAAATTATTGAGAAGTACTAATTAGAATGCCAAAGACCTGTGGGAGACCTTATTTTTTATCTCTTGAAATTGACTTTTAATTTTTTCTAGAAAAATTTTTTATTCCAAATTGCACAGCAGCTACTGTTAATGCCATCCAAAAAGTACACTGAAAAATCATTAGCAACCAAACCATTAAAATACATCAGTTAATTCCATTCACTATACACAAAAAAAATTTTATTTTTAAGAAGTGAACATGATCAAATGTATCCAATTGTGTTAAATGCAACTGTCTTCCAATATAAGCCTTGTTTTACTAAGAATTTTTCCAGGAAGCTGAAGCCTCAACGTATATTTTTGAAGAGGCACAAAAATGAGATACATATCCCCTCCTCCATTTCCTCTTGCTATGACTTACAAATAGCCCCATACGCCTAAAATCAAACACATGTATCCAAATCCACTGTTATTTTTTTTGCCCTATCCAGCTTCAATATCCCACTAATTTCATATGAAGAGAACATAGTCCTGTGATGGTTCCCTCAGACTGGAGTTTGCAATAGATTTCAGTTCTTCCTTAAACAGGAAAAGGGCCCGTTGATACTCATGTTAGCACTTCAATTAGAAGGTTTAGTGACACCGTTTCTCCTGTTTACCAAAAACACTTTTCCTGGGATGGCAGTCTCCTTGAAAAGATTACTGATTACTTCTCCTACAATGCCTGAAACCCAAAACATGCTGTTTTCATGTACCACACCATCAAGCAAGGAAACACCAAACTAGACATGTTTACTCTCACATTGATAGTAGGCACTACTGAGACCAGAACGTTGAACAACCCTAGAATAATTTACAAGAAGGATAAAAAGCATGCCTAGGTAAAAGTCACATATATTCCCCTCCCCCCCAAACAACGTAAGAGTGGATCCTACAGATATAAACTTGATTTAAACCAAGAACAAAAGAACCAAAAATCAACTATTAAAACCAAAAAACTGCAGTGAAGAAAACAGGGTCAGCAGAGCAAACTGGTTGATTTTGTATTAATCACTACAGTAATAGCTAGATTGCTGTCAGTATACCTGTGATAAATCATGAACATGAGATGTCCCAAACAGACACACCCCTCTAAGGAGCCTAATAAGTACTATGCAAATATGCATTTTTAGTTTACCAGTTTAGAGGGTCACTGTAGGATAATAAAGAAAAAAGTAAATTGGTATATGTTGAGATAAAGTTCACCATATTATACTGGTTTCTTATTTTGGCATATATCCCATATTCTGTTGTCGAAATTAATGAATAAAATGCACTGGAAAGTGGAAGTGATGTACAAAAGGTAACTGACAAGCAAGACACCTCAAATACAAAATTCTCAGAATTACAATTGGAAACAGAGGTGTTCAAGGATGGCCAAAACCAAGTCTATGTGTGAAATTTTCTTTTGTTGAAGAAAACGGGAGACTTGGGAGAAGACAATACACTCATATAAATCAGGTGCATTTTCATTCTGGAAAAAAATAATTCTGAAACTGTCAGAGAAATACTTAAGCATGCATCATATACTCCCTGGCTAACAAAAAGTATCAGTAATCTTGGGCATTTGCTGTAGAGCACTCCAGCGTATATAGCTCCTAACAAGCACTTAAAGTGAAACGTATTCTATCCAAATTAGTCATCTTTCAAGACAGGAAAAAAAGTTCCCTTCAAGGACTGTTTCATGAAATCCTTAGTTCTCACTAGATTAAAAAACTTTTATGGGTCTTAGTTAATGCAAGGCAAAAGAAAACAAAGAACAGAGGTGAAAACAGAGGTCACAGAAATACAGAAATACAAGTAATGTGCTCTGCAGTACATATTGCTATTTGGAGTTTGGAACTGGATGTCTAGAGCGAATTTTCAGGACCTGGTTCAAAACAAGATGTGGTGCAGCTTCTAAAAAAATTGCTAATACCTTTCTTGGGTTTGGGATTGTTTTTCCCCATTAGATCCTTTTCTGTAAAATCCGGTTAAAAATAAACACTGTCCTAGCTAAATGTACTATCTTCACCATTGGCATGGTGGACTTTGTCTAGCCATATTAACATAACACTGGAATAAAATACATTAATTATCAGCATCACTCATTATATGATCACTATGTAAATCTCCTGTGCCAAGACTTTATAAGCAAGTAGCATCCATTTTATACACATGTATAAAGTTATGCCACAATGCTGAAATTCCTCAAACACTGCACATTTTATACAAGCATATACTAAAAATCATTAGGATCCATGTAGGTCTATTTCTATACTTCAAAATACTAATGCATGCTATGGTATACAGGCAGGAGTAGAACGTTTAAGTAAATTAAAAAATATCCAGAAACACCATCCACATTATTGTTAGTTCTCTGCTCATCAGAAGGAAACACTTATCTGCTATTACCAGCTGAGCTTTCCTTCATCTCCCAGTGAGAACACTATTTACCAGGTTAGTACAAACTGGATGCTACAACTTATCTCACCATTTCGTTCAAGCAAGTGAGGGTCAGAATGTTTCTTGCCTATATCTGCGAAAGACCGAACCAGAGGAATCCGACTGCTGAATTTTTTCTCATTCTGATGATGGTGCCTTTTTAGGAGAGCCGCTCTCACATTCTCTCTTATGGATTCATCCAGCTGGCCAGAGGCAATCATGTTGTCCAAAACCATATCTGTAAAATAATAAGAACAAAAAGGGAAATTATATAGGTAGCTATCAAATCCCTCCTTCACCACATTCCAGTGCTGTAGTTGCACCAAATTTAAAAAAAAAAATCTTTCCTAATAAAAAAATCTTTTCTTTAACAAAGTCACCTTCAAGAATCTGCAGGAAATTTTCAAAGATGTCACTAAACAAGTAGATGTGAGAATAAGGAAAGCGCAACATGCAGATCCAAGAGACAGTATTTATTAGTAGCACCATTCAAGAAATAAATTACTTAATATTTTGTAATGTATTGCCATTTACTTCAACTTTCAATGGCAACTCCCATTCAAGAAACTATCTATTGTAATTAACCACCCTATGCTAGAAGTGGGTACACAAAGACAGAAACATGATGGAAAACAGACATGACAGTCTTAGCCTGATGTTCCCTAATTTTAAAGTATATACAACTATATAAAAGTGAAAGTTACTATAGAATGAGACAAATTCCATAACTCCTCTGTCATCTTTGGATACCCTAAGATCCTGAGACTCTCTACTGAACTTCATGTGATTCACATGCTTTAGAGAAGGAAGTGTAAAACAATATCTTGTAATATCATGTAAAACTAACTAATCATCTGTCAATCAACATCAAGTTTCAAAAGGGCTCTCAGCTCACACCAGGAAAGAAAACCTCCATATGAGGGAAAGCATCTACTGTGATTTCTTAGCTGCCTTTTTTTTTTTTTTAATAAGAAGAAGTAAAATAAATTCATAAAAAGCCCAACCTGCATAAGGCAACAAAAACCTATATGACAACTTTTCAAATATATATTACCTATGGTATCTAATATATTGAGAACTTAACTGCATTGCTAAATTGAAATGACACAGAACTCTTCACAATGAAGATACCTTACTAATGAAACTATAGGCAGCAAAGTGTCTGTCAGTACAGTGCATCTTCCTTCTGGGATTACTGGTAACACAGCCACTTGTTAGAGGTTCTCAGAAGGAAACCTGCCACCTTCTCCCTCCTCTTTGAGTAAGAAACAATAATACCTACTAGGTATTCCTCATGGCTCATGGAAACAAGACAGTACATTTGTATACCAAGGACTGTTACCCTACACACTTGACAATGGCATCTAAAATTAACTGGAAACAAATTCATACAATCTCGTAAGATATCCTAGTTCCAACTAAAATACCCACTATCAAGAGCGCCATTTACATAGAATTAAGCAATAACTATTTTTCTTATGTACTAAGACTATTGCTACATTCAATTATTAAAACATAAAATTATAAACAAAACCATTACATTCACAAACAATGCATTGAATACTCTTGTTCAGTAAGTGATGAAAATAGGAAGGGAATGACAATTTCCTGAGTGAATTTTGAGGATTTCAAAACAAGAAAACATTTCAAGGACTGCCAAAGTTTTTAAGGCCGAAACACCTTGTCCACATACATGGTAGACATACACTGGTCTGCCCTAATTCTAGTATGATTCCTGCAAATGCAATCCACTGTGTGGTACCTGTAGCAAGAGATACCAGGAAAATTATGTACAACTAATTCAAAGGCATTCAGGCTAAGCAGATATATATATATAATGTGTATATATATATGTGTACGTGTGTATGTGTATGTATTATATATACATGAAATTCTCCAAAGCTGTGTATCCAAAATGACCATGTGATTAGTGAGGACACTCAACATAGTAGGTCAAACAACATGTACAAAATTTATTTCTGCTCACCTCTTATAAAGGTGAAAAAAATACCAGATGTGCAACAACCAACTGCACTAATGGCATCAAGTTAACATCAGTCAAATTATGATTAATAATTATGGTACTAAAGTGCACAAATAACTCCTAAAATGTTCTGGCAGATATTTACAATTCATCTGTAGAAACAAAGACAAAGAACACATTCAGGGATTAGAACATAAAGGCAAATTCTGGGCCTCATCCTAAAATACATACTAAAGGAGCTCCTACTCATCCAGTGTAGCTTTTTGTATGTGAAGTTTATAGGAACCACATTCCTTATAATCAGATCAAGAAAACTGCAGTAAGCATGCACATACCTGTTTCTTCAATATAGTAATTAAAGAACATAAAGACACCACCAAAACCACCTCAAATAGATTAAAACTTAGGAAAAAATATTTTTAAAAAGTTTTGCTGCAACCTGCTATCTCATCAAGTGTGTTTGCTCTCATGTCCAACATGACCGTCCCGTTTAGAATACAGCTTCGTAGTTCAAAGAGACTGTGCAGAGACAAAGTTGCTACATAAGGCTTGCTCCATCGATCACCACCATCTTCAACATCCTCTTCAAATTTCAGCCACCTGAAATGCATTCACATACACATACTTATATTTCTCCTGGAAAGAAAATTTGGGAAATAATCTCATTCTTCCATGTGGCTTTGGCACGACATGGAACAGGAAATCGCAAGAAATCAAATCCCACTGCCTTTCATTTTATCACACAGCCCAACTGACTGACATTTTTATCAGGCCTTTTAACCACACTCAAATGTTTTAATTTTTGCCCAATTTGTTTCTTTTGGTTTGAACAATACCTGTCTATTTACACATTCTTGTGAAGAGCATGGGATTGTGTCCTGTTACTTGATTTGCACATCTTGATCTTGTCAGTATTGTAGGACTAGAAAGCTGTCTGAAACACACCATATAGCATGTTCACGTCTCCTAAGGGTTCTATGTCAGATATTTTAAAACTGTGCAATACTAATATGTGTAACTGCAAATTGATCTTGATTCCAACTCACAGGCATTACACAAATCAAACTTCTGCAAAAGCTAGCATGCAACAAGGTAGTTTGAAGTACTGAATGCAGAAGAATTTATTACAATGCATATGTAGAGGGAAGCAACTAAACCAGGATGGGCCAAAAGCAACCATGGCATCCTGTAATGTTCATGCATGCAGTTTGCAAAAAAACTGATCAAATACTACCCAAGAAAAACATAATACCTGATTTTATTTATGTCTGAGGAAAAAATACACCAATTTATTGGTAATAATATACCAGAGAGATACCACTCCATGGATGAACGCCTGTATTAGTAACTCAGTGTAGTCCTGCCTTTCACAATGTTTGGTATGAACAGTATTAGGGAAGTGAACACACCACCAACCAGTAAGACTGAGGGTCTCTGGAGAAACCATATTAATTCTTTCAGAGTTGGACAAAAAAACCCAGAAGTTTTGTTTAGATGAACATGACTTGAGTAGACAACTCCTACAGTTAGTGAAGATTCTAACCCAAACCTGGTTTGCAGTTCTTTGAAATAAAATCACTATAATATTGTTGGGAGGATAGGTTTATAAGTAGAAGAATGGTGAGAAGGATGGTAGATTCGCTCAAGTGACCTTGCAGCTGGGAATGCCAAGGTCTGGAAAATAACAGTGTGGGAAACCCAATATACAATGCCTCCTGCTGTTTATCCTTTGCCTGTTTTGAGAAGTAGAATCTCCGTGCAGAGATAACATAGGTCTTTGCTACAGAGACTTGGAGGCACTTCTACGGACACGCTTGAGCTCCCTATCTTGGAAGAGAGATCAAACTCAGAGATGATAAAAAAAGCACAGGGGGACAAAAGCATGGTGGTAAACTACACATCGCAGGCCTTCCATACATGGGTGCAAACAGCAGACCTGCTGCCCGTCAGGATGGACTGAGCCTTACAGTGCTGGTGTTCCTGCTTGTGTGTCTCAGTATGGGTGCTGCTTCAGGATCCTCCAGTTAGCCAAGTAACGAAACAAATTTACCCTCTGCATTTCAGCCGTGGTTTTGTGGCTGATCTGGTTGCCTGCGTGTGTCGACTCACACACGTATACCTTGAAACAATCTACTTCCAGCATACCTGGCCGTTTCTCTCCATTCATATTCTTCTCCATCCCTGAAGTAAAGTTCATCCATTTCAGTGAAGAGATCGTGAGGAATGTGTTCATCATCATCTTCAGTACCCAAGATAAACTGGACTCGTTGAGATGGTGTGTCTTGAAGAAAAGCAGAAACCGATCAATTACAAGAATTCATATTTCTATTACATAAGAAACACTATGTAGCAGTAAAATTTCCTGCTCTCAGCTATAAATGTGCAGCAGAACATCTTTAAGAGGGAAGAGGAACAAAAGAAACGCAGACATTTCTTTAAAAGGAGGCTCTCTGAAAATTTTGTATTGTTTCTGAAAACAAAACATCTGAAAATTTATGTTTATGAAAAATAAATAAGTATTTTTAGCTCTTCTATAGATTGCCGATGCAAAAAAAAAAAAATCAACAGCAAAACTGGTTTAAAAAAAAGTAAAAATTAATATACCAAAAGGCTAGAAACCTTGTTTTCATTTTGAGAACAAAACAAATGATACCACCATAACACAGCTACTAATTATAGGAGAAAATGAGAAAACAAAACAGGCTGTTGGAAAAAAACAGCCTGATTTATAGATCAGTTGCCCAAATAATAGCTGAAGATACTCATATTGTGAGTACTCACGCACTGGTATTGTTAGAGCAGAAGACTTTTCTATGGCCTGTTGCTACTAACATAGGATGAGAAATTAATTTTTTCATTGTGCGGCTGGAGCACTATGTATAAATTAGCATAGTAGAGCAGAAACTATGCAGCTAAAATGTTGAGGAAATATTTTAACTTCTCACAATATAATAATGCCCATTGGAACAGGCTCAGTAGAAACTTGTAAGGAAATTACACTATCTTTATTGATTAAAAGTAAGTACTGGATTTCACTGCTATGACCAAAACTTTAAAAAAAAATCCCCACCAATAAAAGCACGTGGGTTTAGATACTTTTAATACCTATATAAAGATTTGGTTTCCACTCAAGCAGATTTTCAAATTACCAGGGTTCAATAATGTAGCAATTATAATGTTATCTCAGGAAGGTCAGAGACAGAAAATTCAGGTAAATCTCAATTTTAAAGATTTCATTTTTTTTCACTGAAACGTCACTCTCACAGCTATTAGATGTGAACATACAACTGTATGCTTCTAGTGTAGAAGTAACAGCACCCTTTAGATTTAGGCAAAAGATCTGAATTACTAACAAACTTCATTCAGAATTGGATTTTGCTTTTGCACTGATGTTCTGGCATCGATCATCATCCAGCAGCAATTCTGAAATGAGCTCCTGAATGCAAACAACATTCATTATCAGATCTATAGCACATTGTTTCTGTCCCAAAACCAGTACATGCCAAGAATCCTGTGTATCCAGGATAAAGAAGTAACCAGGACAGAGAATTGATTTTCTATCAATTTAATATCACTTGTTGCTTCAAAAACTGTACAGTAAGACTCTACAAATACAATGTCAATTATAGTAATTTACGTTTGGGAGGGGAAACCTTGAAGATGGATGAAACCAAGAACCAGAGGAGAATGGTAAAAGGAGACTTGTCAAAGCATTCCCATTTGAAGACTCCGTTTTTTCAGGTACTGGCCCCATGCAGAACATGGTTCTAGTTATAGATAGGTAATAGTGAACAGCATGGTGTCCACACTTGAATTACAACATTGCAGCGTAGCCTGCCCATTCGCTGCAGTCCAGGAATAAAAGTGGACACAGGGTCTTGAAGAAAAACTGCTAAGAGTACTTAAATAATTTCATTTCAGAGAATGCTATGAAAAAATTATCGTCTCTTGAGGATAAGAGGTAGACTTGGGGGCAGTTCATGATCCAAACCAGAAACTTAGGAGGCACTACAATTCCTTTATAACAAGACAGCAAAAAGGCTGAAGTAAATACTTAGATCATTGATCAAATTACCATGGAAAATGCTGCTTCACATTCTTACTTTTAAAAATCAGACGAAGAAGCATACACGACTACACAATCTGAAAAAAGGTGTCTAATTTAAATAACACAGATTTTCATGCTACAGAAGACCATTACAAAGCTCTGGTCTAACCTATTCAGTGCGGGCTGCTGAACATTCATGTGGACAGCTGGACCTAGTCCAATAGCTTATGACTTAGATAAAACACAATCACAAAATCCTGGTCTGGTTGTACATAGAAAGACTAATTACTGAGTGAGAATAAAAGAAATAGCACAAACCAAGCAACACTGAAGCAGAGTTAACTACTACGAGTTTACA